GGGGGGGGGGGGGGATAAACTGTGGTATGAGGTCCTTTGGGAGGCAGGTGGGGGGTGTTTTTTCTCGTGATGGTGAGGTGTCTCTATCCATGTTGGTAAAAGTCCTGTAGTGCCAAGATCTTATTGATTGGCTTAACATAGTTGGATTACAAAGCAGGCTTTGGGTCCAGTGCTGGCTGTTTTATCTGCTGCTGGTGTCAGGTGAGATGGCACAGCTGTGGGACCACAGCCAGTATGTTTGGAAAGGCTGGCCCCAGGCAGGATGCCCAACCAGCCTCTGCTTCAAAGCCTCCAGAGAAGGAGACTCGGCAAAAGTATGGTGATAGTATGATAGCTGGGTCCGAAAGTTCCGAGCGTTAGCAGCCTCCCTGTCCGAATGCATCTCCTCCTATGAGTCAGTTAGGACATTAAGATCGTCTGGGGAGGCCCTGCTCTCAATCCCATCTGCGTCACAAGTGTGTTTGGCGGGGACGAGAGACGGGGACTTCTCAATGGTGGCTCCTCGGCTGTGGAACACCCTTCCTACAGACATCAGATCTGCCCCCTCCCTGTTAGCATTTTGGAGGAAAGTGAAGACCTGGTTGTTCAAGCAGGCATTTGAAAAGGCAGATGTATAATTGCTCCAACAAATGTTGGAAATGTGGGAAAGAAAATGGTACATTCTACCACACATGGTGCACTTGCAGCAACGTAAAAAATTACTGGAAACAGATCCATGTATATCTTGAAAAACTGTTAAACACAAATTTTAAAATGACACCTCACATGTACCTTTTGAATATGCCCAAGGAAGAATTAGAAACAAAATTTGGAAACAATTTGTTTTACACAACAGTGGCAGCTCGAATAGTATATGCTAGATATTGGAAAACCCCAGAGATACCTCCTTTAGAGGAATGGGAAAAAAATATTATAGATATCCTGATATTGGACAAAATAACTGTATTATTAAGAGAACTATTAGATAACTTTGTTAATGAATGGCAACCAATGATTCAACGCCTTAATGTAAAAATTAAACTAAAAATGTATATAGAGGATCCTATAAGATTGTAGACAAGGAAGAAGCGGATGTAAAGTAAGAGTCTATGATATCTTTATGTGTATTATTTAGATAGTAGACTGTGATCCCTTAATGGAAATATATCAGATAAATGATTATAGAACATTAATAGATAGAAAGTATTGCACTGTATGCAATAAACACTTGCAAATGTATGTCTACTTAAATAAAATAAAAATAATTGGGGAAAAAGAAAGAAAAGGCAGTGTAATAAACATAGGAATATGGAACAATTGGATGATGAGATTGGGTATTGATTTTAACTACGAGGCGCTAATGAGATGTTTTATTTATTTATATTGATTGTTTACTATGTTACTAATTGTTTTTAACTGTTTTATGATGTATTGAGCATTGCATTTTGCTATTGTTAACCGCTGTGAGTCGCCCAAGGGCTGAGAAAAGCGGTATATAAATATCGTAAATAAATAAGTTATGCACATTCCGCAAAGTATGATAACCCAATACTGGTTGCGCGACATGGGTCAGAATTAGAGAAGCGAAGACATTAGGTATTTGACTGTGTTTTCATACGATATCCGGATAGCCTTAAGCACTATGCTTGGCTGTTTGTTGCCCCCCCCCTTTCAGTCCCCCTCTTTATGGCGAATTATCTTGCCACGACTTTGTCGCACCTGCGCTGTCTCAGCATTGGGTCCCAGCTACCATACTTTTGCCGGAGACTCTGCCAGACTCCCAGGCAACAAAACTTAGCCATTCTAAAAGTGTTCTTGAAGGCTTCCATGGCCGGATTCACTGGGTTGCTGTGATTTTTCCGGGCTGTGCGGCCATGTTCCAGAAGCATTCTCTCCTGACGTTTCGTCCACATCTATGGCAGGCATCCTCAGAGGTTGTGAGGTCTGTTGGAAACTAAGCAAGTGGGGTTTATGTATCTGTGGATATATAAATCTGGGCCAGCTAACACCTCCCAACAAAGGATTCAAAGGAAGCAGCCAGGCCTTCAAGCTGTAAGCCATTCAGTACTAATCAAGGTGGCCAGTTGCAACATTCACACTTGATTACAATGATGATGATTATTATCTTTTCCATGCAGTTCCTGTGTCTTTTTGGTACCCAGAACAGGCCATATATCCACTGCCATTTCCTAGCTACTGAGATGCATTTATCTCAATATATATTTATTTAATAATTAAGGTAAAGGTTCCCACTGATATTAAGTCTAGTCGTGTCCAACTCTGGGGGTTTGTGCTCATCTCCATTTCTAAGCTGAAGAGCCGGCGTTGTCCATAGACATCTATGGCAGTCATCCTCACAGGTTTTGAGTTCAGTTGGAAACTAGGCAAGTTAGGTTTATATATCTGTGGGATGATCTCCAGGGTGGGAGAAAGAATTCTTGTCTGCTGGAGCCAGGTGTAAATGTTGCAATTGATCATCTTGATTAACATTGAATAGCCTTGTAGCTTGGAAGCTTGGCTGCTTCCTGCCTGAGAGAATCCTTTGTTGGGAAGTGATTAGCTCACCCTGATTGTTTCTTGTCTCTAGGCAAGTGGGGTTTATATATCTGTGGAATGTCCAAGGTGGGAGAAAGAACACTCCAACAACCAGCATGTCAGACACAGCAAAGCCATTGAAATCCACAAGCAGGTGGACGATTTCAACACAAAGGAGGAAGCCGTGAAAATGAACACAATCTGTCTACCAGTATTTAAAAAAAAAACCTCTAAAATCAGGACAGTAAACAAAAACAACACTCAAAACAGGGGAATTCCAGACAAGAATCAATCAGGACCAGCTAATACCTCCCAGGCAGGAATCACCGGGACTGTGGCGCAGCTGTCTGAGTGTCAGCTGCATTAAGATCACTTCTGACCACAAGGTCATGAGTTCGAAGCCAGCGCGGGTTGGAGTGAGCTTCCAACCAATTGTGTAGCTTGTTGTCAACCTTTGCAACCTGAAAGACAGTTGCATCTGTCAAGTAGGAAAATTAGGTACCACCTATGTGTGGGGAGGCTAATTTAACAAAATTTATGAGGCCATAAAAAAGACTCCAGCAAAGCACTCCAGCAAAAGCATGCGGGGAATGCGGAAGTACTTCATCAGTGTCGCAGATGAATGATGAAAGTGGCAGCTCCCCTGGCAGCCAGAAAAGTTAAATAGCCTCTGACTGTTTGTCTGTTTCTGTTGTGTGTCTTTGGCATTGAATGTTTGCCATATATGTGTACATTTTAATCCGTCCTGAGTCCCCTGAGGGGTGAGAAGGGTTCTGTCAATAAATACTGTAAATAAATACTCTAAATAAATAATCAGCTAGACTTTGAATCTGCAAGGCTATTAAATACTAATTAAAGTGATCAATTGCAACATTCACACTTACCTCAAACAGACAAGAGTTCTTTCTCCCCTGGACATAATTCCACATAATTCTCCCCACTGGCCTAGTTTCCAACAGACCTCACAACTTCTGAGGATGGGTTTATGGTAAGTTTTCCGGGCTGTTTATCCATGTTCCAGAACCATTCTCTCCTGACGTTTGACCCACATCTATGGCATGCATCCTCAGAGGTTGTGAGATCTGTTGGAAACTAGGCAAGTGGGTTGTCGAAGGCTTTCATGGCCGGAATCACTGGGTTGTTGTAAGTTTTTTCGGGCTATATGGCCATGTTCTAGAGGCCATCTAGAATCAAGGAACATGAAAGGTACTGCAGACTACTTAACCAGAGAAGTCAGCCATAGCAGAGCACCTGATGAACCAGCCTGGACACAGCATATTATTTGAGAACACAGAATTCCTGGACCACTCCAACAACCACCATGTCAGGCTACACAGAGAAGCCATTGAAATCCACAAGCATGTGGACAATTTCAACAGAAAGGAGGAAACCATGAAAATGAACAAAATGTGGCTACCAGTATTAAAAAAAACCCTCTAAAATTACAACAGCAAAACAACAGAGAGGAAACATTCTGGGACATCTAATCACCTCTCAACAAAAGATTGCCCTAGGCACTGCCAGGCCATCAAATGCTAATCAAGGTGGTCAGTTGAGACATTCACACCTAGCTCCAACAGATAAGAGTTCTTTGTCCCACCCAAGAAATTCCACAGATATATAAACCCTTTTTCCTAGTTCCAACAGACCTCACTACCTCTGAGGATGCTTGCCATAGGTGCAGGCGAAATGTCAGGAGAAAATGCATCTAGAACATGGCCATATAGCCCGAAAAAACCTACAACAACCTAGGCAAGTGGGGTTTATATATCTCTGGAATATCCGGGATGGGATAAAGAACTCCTGTCTGTTTGAGGCAAGTGGCAATGTTGCAGTTGGCCATCTTGATTAGCATAACCTATAGAACCTATCTTGTTTGTAGCTTGGGAACTGCCTTCACTTCACTTTATTTCTTAATTAGTCGCTCTCCACCAAGGTGCTCCGAGCGACTTACAATCTAAAATAGCATTTACACAATATAAAAACATTCAACATAAAAACATTCAACAGTGACTATTTGCCTGTATATAGATGGAGCAGCAAGACTGCATGCAGTGAAATTCAGTGGGTGCGTTTATTTATTTATTTATGCTCCATGGTGCTTCAGCTACAGACTTAACTATTACATAAAGGTGGAATTCATCCTGACTGATGGATTAGAATGTTTATAGTTTTATTAAACTGACTGTTATTAAAGGGCTTCTTTTTGGCTGCTTCTTATCCATAAATGTGAAAAAAAATCTTGGTTTTATATTCCAGAACCCAGCCTAGAAGACCATTTACGTGGGAAAAAACACCAGCGCTTGGAAAACCTCCGCACTGTCCGCCAGAGCCAAGAGCTCCGTAGTGTTTTTGTCAGCGGCTTCCAGAAGGGGACACCAGCCTCGGAGCTCAGCGATTATTTCCAGACTTACGGGGAAGTAGTCAATGTTGTGATGGACAAGGAAAAGGTGATGGTGGCAATTGCTTAAAACTGGCATGGGCAAACTACAACCCTCCAGGATTTCAACTCCCACAATTCCTATTGACTGTTAGGAATTGTGGGAGTTGAAGTCCAAAACACTTGGAAGACCAAAATATGCCCATGCCTGGCTTAAAAGAACATGAAAAATAATGTTATCCATTTTTTGAAACTTGTGACTCAATTTCTCTCAAAGAACAAGAGTAGACAGAATAAGTATATCAAAATAATTCCCTTTATATGGGTTGTTGTGAGTTTTCAGGGCTGTCTGGCCATGTTCCAGAAACATTCTCTCCTGCCACCTTGATTAGCATTTAATGTCCTAGCATTTTCAAGGTCTGACTTCTTACTGCCACAACAACCCATCTTAAGGGAACCCTTTGTTGGGAGGTGATTAGCTGGCCCTCATTGTTTCTTGTCTGGAATACCTCTGTTTTTGTGTGTTGTTCTTTATTTACTGTTATGATTTGTTGGGAGGTGTTAACTTGCCTTAATTGTTTCCTGTCTGGAATGCCCCTGTTTTCTGAGTGCTGTCCTTTATTTACTGTCCTGATTCTAGTGATTTTTAATACTGATAGCGAGATTGTGTTCATTTTCATGTCTTCCTTCTTTCTGTTGGAATTGTCCACGTGCTTCTTGTGGATTTCAATGGCTTCACTGTGTCGTCTGACATGGTGGTTGTGTGAGTGGTCCAGCATTTCTGTGTTCTCTAGTAATATGCTGTGTCAAGTGCTCTTCTGTGGCTACACTCACACACACACACATTATTTATTCATTTATTTATTATTTACGACATTTATATGCCGCCCTTCTCACCCCGAAGGGGACTCAAAGTGGCTTACAAGATATATTTTCATACAATATATATTATTAGCATAGTAAAATATCAGTATTATATATTACTATATTGCACTATACCATTATATTGTAATATCATTAGTAATATTACATGTATTGTAAATACATAATTACAATTATATTGTATTATTATTACTAGTATTATTAATACAATATTATAATTATAATTATATATTTACAATACATGTAATATTATTAATAATATATATACTAATATACATACATACATACATCCCCCCCCCACACACACACACATTATTTTTGTGGCACTATTTGCTGTCCTTCAGACTTTGCTCTGGTGAAGTCAAGAAAATATTTCACATTTGTAGCTCTTTAGGGCTCCATCTACACTGCCATATAATGCAATTTAGCTGCATTGAATTGCATTATATGGCAGTGTAGATTCATATAATCCAGTTCAATGCAGTTATATTGGATTCTGAAACAGTATTATATGGCAGTGTAGATGGAGCCTAGGATCCCACCCCACTCACTGTCATTGCAGTAATACTATCTATTTGTGGCAAGTGATTGACAGAACAGGAAAATAGAGAATGACTTGAGTTATAGTCAAATGCTCCTTCTATTATGTGTTGGACTACTAGGGGGTCTATGCCATTGTTGAGCTGCAAAACGAAGAGATGCTGAAGAAGGTTTTGTCAGAACCGCAGCATAACCTGGGAGGCCAAAAGCTGCGCGTCAAGCCTCGAGAGAAGAAGGATTTCAAATACAACCCTCCCAGGAAGCAGGGCTCAGCCAGGCAGGAGCAGCTGAACCCGGAAAAGGTGGCACAAAAGTTGTGCGAGGCTGATGACGTGAGTGGCCCTTTTAAATACTCCCAATGGCCATACTAGAGAATGGATTTAAATGTCAGTCAAGGGACAGGCCACACGGCACCATGCTAATGGCACTTGGTTTCTTTGTAGGTGGATGCACAGATGTCCGTGTTAGTGCAACTCTTTGAATTTTCTGAGAGTGAGAGGCATTTGCGGGACCTGTTGGTCACACTCTTTCAAGAAGTTTTCCAAGAATTTTTTCCTGGTAAGTTGTTTTTTTCTCCTCCCCCTCCTTCCTCTTTTCCTTCTCCTCCCTTCTTCCTCTCCTTCTTCTCTTCCTCCTTTTCTCCCTCTTCTCCCTCTCCCTCCTCATCTTTTTCTTCTTCCTCCTCTTTTTTTCTTCTTTTTCCTCTTTCTCTTTTTTTTCTTCGTCTTCTTTATTTAACTTTAGTTGTTAAGTCATAATTCATGCTTACATGTTGAGTTGTTAAATTTTGTTAGTGTGGATGTATTGTTGTTGTATTCAGGCATTGAATGTTTGCTTTTTATGTTTGGAATCCTCCCTGAGCTGCACCGGGGAGATAGGGTGGAATACAAATACAGTTTTATTATTATTACATTATTATTATATTTATATCCCTCTTTACCTTTCTATAAAGAGGCCCAAAGTGGCTAACAACACTAAAGCAATACAGTATGTAATTTTTGAAAATACAAACACTAAAATAGGATTAAATATCAACACTAATAAAAGTTAAACCCATTTAAAACCTATCGGTAAAGGTAAAGGTTTTTCCCTGACATTGTCCGATTGTGTCCAACTGGGGTTTGGTGCTCATCTCCATTTCTAAGCCGAAGAGCCAGCATTGTCCGTAGACACCTCCAAGGTCATTTGGCTGGCATGACTGCATGGAGCAGCATTACCTTCCTGCAGAAGGGGTACCTATTGATCTACTCACATTTGCATGTTTTCAAACTGGTAGGCTGGCAGAAGCTGGGGCTAACAGCGGGAGCTCACACCGCTCCCCAGATTCAAACCTGTGACCTTTTGGTCAACAAGTTCAGCAGCTCAGCGGTTTAACCCACTGCGCCACCAGGGGCTCAAACCTATTGACATACCTAAAAATGATTTGTTTTGTTCATCCTTTGCTCCAGTCAGCTACTTAGACCTGTGTTCCTATAACCTTTATTCCATCTACTCTATGCCCAGGTTCTGTGATGATCCCTTTTGGCTCCTCAGTGAATGGCTTTGATGTCTCTGGATGTGATTTAGATTTGTTCTTGGACCTTGAGAAGGCAAAACACTTCCAGGCGTCTGCCAATGGTTCCAGTGTTCCACAGGTGAGAAGGGGGCTGTGGATATCTATTGGAAAGTCATTACTATTCAGCATAGGCACTAATGAGCCTTTTGTGTCATGGTGTGACTAGTTGCATCTGTTTTTGATGTCTCTCCTTTTGGGTCAAGGATGGAGCCAGTCCCAAGCTAGCTCTACATTCAGAGGATTCAATCCTCAGTGATGTGGACCTGGCTTCGGCGACGGTGCCTGAAGTGCTAGAACTGGTTGCCGCTGTGCTGCAGAAGTGTGTCCCAGGAGTCCACAATGTCCAAGCTGTGCTGACTGCTCGCCGTCCTGTGGTCAAGTTCTGCCACAAAGAGTCCAGCTTGCGTGGAGACATCTCTATAAACAACAGGTATGGCTCTTTTGTGTATGTGATTTCTTTAATGTGAGCATTGGGACTTCTGACCCTCTAGATGTGGCAGAATGACATATTTAGGCAGCATAGACAATGGGAAAGGGATGCTGACTGTTGCAATCCAGCACCTGGAGGACCATCTTTTGTCATTCTCTCATGAAATTCAAAGTTACTCGAGTATAAGCCTAGTTTTTGAGCCCTTTTTAAGGCTGAAAACGTCCCCCTTGGCTTATATTCAAGGTTATTTATTATTTTCCTCTGTTATTATTTTTATTACATTTATAATTTTACTCAGAGGTGGCCCTAAGTAATTTTCAACGGTAAGCAAACAGTATTTTGCCCCCCCCCCCCCCCAACCAATCACTGATATATATTTTCTGTTCGTCGTGGGAGTTCTGTGTACCATATTTGGTTCAATTCCATCACTGGTGGAGTTCAGAAAGCTCTTTGATTGTAGGTGAACTATACATCCCGGTAACTACAACTCGCATATGTCAAGGTCTATTTTCCCCCCCCAGAGTGCCTCAAGAGCAACCCTGGGAAAAATCAAGTATACTGCAAATGCTTACTTTGCCGCCCCTGATTTTACTCTATTATTATTACATTTATTATTTTACAATATTATTACTGGTATTATTACATTTTCATTATTATTACTATTATATTATTATTATTATTACTATTATTATTATTATTATTATTACATGTATTATTTTACTCTCTTTATTATTATTGGAAGGATATGTATTCACATTTACATTGAAGAAGGTTAGAATAATGGTTTAATCAGAGTTGCGCAGTCTTATCTTAAATTACAGTTTTATGTAAATATTTAATCTACTGATGCCTCAATTAATGTAATTTTATTGGTATCTATTTTTATTTTGAAATTTACCAGTAGACGCTGCATTTCCCATCCTCGGCTTATACTCAAGTCAATATGTTTTCCCAGTTTTTTGTGATAAAATTAGGTGCCTCGGCTTGTATTCAGGTCGGCTTATACTCGAGTATATACGGTATATTACAGGGAAGATACTTCATACTTTGCTTTCTCCATATGTAGACTTATTTCCTGCCTCAAAAAGTAGAAAACAAACTATTCCAATGTTCCCTAATGTTTTTGGATTGTGTAATACTCTTATTTCTGCCACTGAGATACATGTAAAATGTGTATTAGTTTATTTTTAGTACTCTTAATATTTAATTCTGTTTTAATATCTTTATATTCTATTTTAATGTTTGTGTAGCTTTAGGTTTTGAATTGTATTGGTTTACTATGAGCCACTTTGAGTCACTTTTTAAGATAATAATATATTTATTTAAAAATAATATATTATTGTTATTATTTCCTTAATGGGAGTAACAAATTATTATTGTTGTTATTATTACTACTAGCTTGGGGACCCAGACATGCCCGGGTTATTTGAGAAAGGATTTTTGTTTTGTTTTGGGATGTTAGGTAATATCACTTAAGTTAGGTCCAGATCCAACATTGGCTGCATTCAGTGCTCTCTGGATAAGGGTGAACTACAACTTCCAAAATCAGTTCCCACAAACCCCTGCAGTATGTTCTATTGGTCCTGGGGAGTCTGTGTGCCAAGATTGGTCCAGATCCATCATTGGTGGGGGTTGCAGTGGTCTCTGGAAGTGGGTGAATGTACTGCAGATCCCTTCACCCATGGTCCATCCTCCTCCAATCCACATCAGAATGTAAAGTGGGCCATGTGTGGTCTATGTGCCATGTGTCATCCAGGACCTTCATTTGTGGGGGTTGCAATAGTCTGATGAAGTGAGTGAAGGTACTGCAAGTCCCATAATCCATGGTCCATCCTCCTCCAAGCTGTACCACAACATTAAGTGGGTGATGGGAGCACTGTGTGCCAAGTTTAGTCCTGATCTGTCATTGGTGTGGATTGCAGTGGTCTGTAGGAGCCAAAGTGATTGAAAGTACTGCAAATCCCATCATCCGTGGTCTTTCCTACCAACTTCACCAGGATGTGAGGTGGGTCATGGAGGGGGAGGGGTCAGTGTGCCAAGTTTGATTCAGGTCTGTGGGGTTCAGAAGGCCCACGGAATACAGGTGAACTATAACTCCCAGAGTTCAAGGTCAATCACTCCCAAAGTCCACCAGTATTCACAGTTGGCCATGTTGAATTTGTTTTCCAAGTTTGGTGCAGATCTGTCATTGGTAGGATTCAATATGCTCTATAAGTCCCATGCAGGTGGGTGAGTGTCCCCCCAAACCCCTTCACTCTGTTCTGTTGGTCATGGGGGTCTGTGTGCCAAGTGTGGTCCTGATCCACCAGTGGTGGGGGTTGCAGTGGTCCATGGGAGCTGAAGTGATTGAAAGTAATGCAAATCCCATCATCCATGGTTCATCCTCCTCAGAAGTTCACCAGAATGTGAGATGGGTCATGAAGGGTATGAAACATACCTCTGTAGTATGTTCAGTTGTTGATCAATTCCTCTGTTTGCTGTGTGCTATAGGAAAGCGTAGGAAAGGGTTATGGGAGAAGCAGTGGGTGGGATCATGCAAATTCCACACCAGTGGAGAGAGTAAATAAATGAGAAGTCTGTGGTGGAGGAAAAACACAAAATTTAGGATGAAATTGTCCCTGAATGAAAGCCTTCACTTAGGTGGTGGGCAGTATGGTATTTGTGGAGGACATTGGCAAGGGCTCTTGGACATGTTCATGGTTCTTGCTAGAACCTGCAATGTCATTGGAGACTTTGGTGTCTCCTCAGCACTTGGAGTTATAGTTGTTTGTGGAGGCAGAAGCTTGTTTCTGTAAGTGGATGCCCTAGTCACATACACACATACATATTTTCACTAGCTTGGGGACCCGGCGCTGCCCAGGTTATTAGGGAAAGTGGGTAATGGGGGTTCTGTATGCCAAGTTTGGTCTTTATTGGTCATTGGATGAGGGTCACATTGTTTTCAGGAAGTGAGTAATGGGGTTTCTGTGTGCCAGGTTTGGTCTTGATCAGTCATTGGATGAGGGTCACAGTGGTTTCAGTACTGCAAGTCCCATCATCCATGATTCGCCCTCCTCCAAACTGCAGCAGGATGTAGAGTGGCTCATGGGGGCTCTGTGTGCCAAGTTTGGTCTTGATCAGTCATTGATGAGGGTCGCAGTGGTTTCAGTAAGTGAATGAAGGTACTGTAAGTCCCATCATCCATGGTCCATCCTCTTCGATACTGCACCAGGATGTAGAGTGGGTCATGGGGACTCTGTGTGCTAAGTTTGGTCTTGATCCGTCATTGGATGAGGGTCGAAGCAGTCTCGGTAATTGAGTGAAGGTACTTCAAGTCCCATCATCCATGGTCTGCCCTCCTCCACACTGCACCAGGTTGTAGAGTGTGTCATGGGGACTATGTGTGCCAAGTTTGGTCTTCATTGGTCATTGGATGAGGTTCACAGTGGTCTCGGGAAATGAGTGGAAGTACTCCAAGTCCCATCATTCATGATCCATCCTCCTCCAAACTGCAGTAGGATGTAGTGCTGTGTGGGTAATCTGTGTGCCAAGTTTGGTCTTTATTGGTCATTGTTGGGGGCCACATTGGTCTGTGGGAAACGAAGTGTTGGAAATAACTACAAATTCCATCATCCATTGTCTACCCTCCGCCAAACCTCACCAGAATGTAAAAGGGGTCATGGGAGTTATGTGTGCCAAGTTTGGTCTTGTTCAATCATTGGATAAAGATTGCAGCGGTCTCGGAAAGCGAATGGAGGTACTTCACGTCCCATCAAGTCCCATGATCTGCCCTCCTCAAAAGTGCACCAGGATGTAGAGTGTGTCATGGGGGCTCTGTGTGCCAAGTTTGGTCTCCATCAGTCATTGGTGAGGGTTGCAAAGCCTTTTGAAAGTACTACAAATCCCATAATCTGTGGTCCACCTCCCCCAAACCACACCAGGACATAAAGGGGTTCATGGGGGTTATGTGTGTCAAGTTTGGTCCAAGTGCGTCACCCGTGTTGGTCACAGTGGCCCTGTGAAAGTGGCAGCCAGTCAGAAAGCTGCCACATACACCTCCCTATCTACGTCCGCCCTCCACAAACATACCAACATTGCCTTTTATTATATACTAGCTTGGGGACCCGGCGCTGCCCAGGTTATTAGAGAAAGTGGGTAATGGCGGTTCTGTATGCAAGTTTGGTCTTTATTGGTCATTGGATAACGGCTGCATTGTTTTCAGGAAGTGAGTGAAGGTACTTGAAGTCCCATCATCCATGGTCCACCCTCCTCCAAACAGCAGCAGGACATTGAGTGGGTCATGGGGGCTCTGTGTGCCAAGTTTGGTCTTTATCAGTCATTGGATGAGGGTGGCAGTGGTTTCAGTAAGTGAGTGAAGGTACTGCAAGTCCCATCATCCAAAGTCCATCCTCCTTCAAACTGCAGCAGGACGTAGAGTGGGTCATGGGGACTCTGTGTGCTAAGTTTGGTCTTGATCAGTCATTGGATTAGGGTCTCAGAAAGTGCAAGTTACTGCAAGTCCCATCATCCATCTCCAAATTTTTCCAAAGGACACCAGGACATAAAGGGTCATGAGAGGTCTATGTGCCAAGTTTGGTCTTGATCAGTCATTGGATGAGGTTTGCAGAGGTCTCAGAATGTGAGTGAAGGTACTGGAAGACCCATCATCCATGGTCAACCCTTCTCCAAAACTGCAGCAGGATGTAGAGTGGGTCATGGGGGCTCTGTGTGCCAAGTTTGGTCTTAATTGGTCATTAGATGAGTTTTGCAACATTCTTGGGGAATTGAGGTACTTGAAGTCCCATCATCCATGGTCTCCTCAAAAGTGCACCAGGATGTAGAGTGGGTCATGGGGACTCTGTGTGCCAAGTTTGGTCTTGATTAGTCATTGGCGAGGGTCTCAGTGGTCTCAGAAAGTGAGTGAAGTTACTTCAAGTCCCATCATCCATCTCCAATTTTTTCTAAACGACACCAGGACGTAAAGTGGGTCATGAGAGGTCTATGTGCCAAGTTTGGTCTTGATCAGTCATTGAATGAGGTTTGCAGAGGTCTCAGAATGTGAGTGAAGTCACATCATCCTTGGTCAGCCCTCCTCCAAAACTGCAGCAGAATGTAGAGAGGGTCATGGGGGCTCTGTATGCCAAGTTTGGTCTTGATCAGTCATTAGATGAGGGTTGCAGCAGTCTTGGGAAGGGAGTGGAGATACTTGAAGTCCCATCATCCATGGTCTGTCCTCCTCGAAAGTGCACCAGGATGTAGTGCACCACAGAGTCATGGGGACTCTGTGTGCCAAGTTTGGTCTTGATCAGTCATTGGCGAGAGTCTCAGTGGTCTCAGGAAGTGAGTGAAGTGACTGCAAGTCCCATCATCCATTGCCAAATTCTTCCAAACCGCACCAGGATGTAGAATGGGTCATGCGGGCTCTCTGTGTGAATTGTGGTCCTGATCCATCATTGCTGGCAGTTGTAATGGTCTTAGGAAGGGAGTGCAGGTGTTGCAAGTCCCATCGTCCATGGTGTATCCTCCAAACTGCACCAGGATGTAGAGTGCGTCATGGAGACTCAGTGTGCCAAGTTTGGTCTTTATCGGTAATTGGATGAGGGTTTCAGTGGTCTCAAGAATTGAGCAAAGGTACTGCAAGTCCCATAATCCATGGTCCATCCCCCACCAAACCACACCAGGACGTAAAGTGGGTCATGAGAGGTCTATGTGCCAAGTTTGGTCCTGATCAGTCATTGGATGAGGTTAACAGCGGTCTTAGAATGTGAGTGATGGTACTGCAAGTCCCATCATCCATGGTTCATCCTCCTCCAAACTGCAGTAGGATGTCAAGTGGGTCATGGGGGCTCTGTGTGCCAAGTTTGGTCTGTATTGGTTATTTTCTGACCCAGCCCCTGGCCTTTTCCTTTCCTCTCTTTGTCATCTCGGAATCTTGGAATTGTGGCTGGCCAATCAGAGACCATATGCAAATTTCCTTCTTTCATGTCTCCGTTTCTGTCATGAACCCTTTTCTCCACCAGGGGTTCCTCTTGAAGCTGACCATATGCAAATAGCACCACAGCAGCAGCCAATCAGAATGCTGGCACATACTCCTCCCGCCACACCACCACACGTCCGCCGCATACAAACTTTGACTTTTATTATATGTATAGACTAGCTTGGAGACCCGGCGCTACCCAAGTTATTTGAGAAAAGAATTGTGTATCAAGGTTGATCTTTATCAGGTATTTATATGGCTCGCAGTGGTCTCAGGAAGTTAGCGAAGGTACTGTGAGTCCCATCATCTGTGGTCCATCCTCCTCCAAACTGTAACAGGATGGAGAGTGGGTCATGGGGGCTCTGTGTACCAAGTTTGGTCTTGATCAGTCATTGGATGAGGGTCACAGTGGTTTCAGCAAGTGAGTGAAGCTACTGCAAGTCCCATAATCCATCGTTCGTCCTCCTTCCATCTGAACATTAGGAAGAACTTCCTGACTGTGAGAGCCGTTCAGCAGTGGAACTCTCTGCCCCGGAGTGTGGTGGAGGCTCCTTCTTTGGAAGCTTTTAAGCAGAGGCTGGATGGCCATTTGTCAGGGGTGATTTGAATGCAATATTCCTGCTTCTTGGCAGGGGGTTGGACTGGATGGCCCATGAGGTCTCTTCCAACTCTTTGATTCTATGATTCTATGATTCAAACAGCATCAGAATGTAGAGTGGCTCATGGGGGATCTGTGTGCCAAATTTGGTCTTGATTGGTTATTAGATGAGGGTTGCAGCAGTCTTGGGAAGGGAGTGGAGGTACTTGAAGTCCCATCATCCATGGTCTGTCCTCAAAAGTCCACCAGGATGTAGAGTGTGTCATGGGGGCTCTGTGTGCCAAGTTTGGTCTTGATCAGTCATTGGCGAGGGTTGCAATAGTCTCAGGAATTGAACAAAGGTACTGCATCCCCAGCCAAACCACACCAGGACGTAAAGTGTGTCATGAGAGGTCTATGTGCTAATCCAAACTGCAGTAGGATGTAGAGTGGGTCATGGGGGCTCTGTGTGCCAAGTTTGGTCTGTATTAGTAATTTTCTGACACAGCCTAAGGCCTTTTCCTCTCCTCTCTTGTCACCTCAGAATCTTGGAACTTTCAGGCTGGCCAATCAGAGACCATATGCAAATTTCCTTCTCTCATGTTCCTGCTTTTCTCATTAACCCTCTTCTCCACCAGGGGGTCCTGTTGAGGCTGGCCAATCAGAGACCATATGCAAATAGCACCACAGTGGCAGCCAGTCAGAAAGCTGGCACATACACTTCCGCTGCATACATACTAGATAGATAGATAGACAGACAGACAGACAGACAGACAGACAGACAGACATAGAGATAGAAGATATTTAGAGATAGACAGACAGACTGTTATTATTTCCTTAGTGGGGATGTTGTTGTTATTACTGGATTACTAATTTTATTTCACCCATATTTTTGTGGAGCAAAAAATGGCAAGTTAGGATTTTCATCACTCCGATTAATATTTAATTCCTGGTAGTCCTTACAGTTGAGGTTAATGAATATGCAGTCCAAAATATTTGGGGGGATTATCAGACTTGAAACGACTGTTGTAGAACATCATATTCTCCCTGGTGCTTTCTACTCCAATAATGAGAAGGAAATACTACAACTGAGATACATTAAAAATACAATGGAGAGGAAGGAAGGTGTAACAAGATTGTAACTATAGTATATATCAATGGTTCCTAACATTTTTTTGACCAAGGACCACTTTGACTAGGGACAACTCTCCAACATTAGTACCAAAAGGGTTACAAACTATGCTAATAATATAAACTATGCTAATAATATAATATATTGTATGAAAATATATATTGTAAGCCACTCTGAGTCCCCTTTGGGGTGAGAAGGGTGGCATATAAATGCCGTAAATAAATAAATAAAATCAGTTTTTGGTCAACTTTCCATTCAGTTTGGTTATTTGGGGTGCTGATTTAGAAAACTGCATTGGATAGACCACATCAGCTCTAGTTTCTAATACAGTACATATGCCATCCAGCGGTTGCCATCTACTCTCCCACAGAAAACTGTGTTTAATAATCTAGACCTGATGTGATATTAGTAATCTTTAGTAGGTAGTCAGCCTCTCTGCTCCCAGTAACCCCATTGCCTCGGCACTATAAGAGGGTTTTGTGAGATCAGTCGACCTCATTGCCAAGTAGTTTCGAGACAACAGTGTAGTAACGGTGAGACCATATTTTCGTTCTTGTGGACCACTGGTGGTCCACAGACCACAGGTTGGGAACCACTGGCATATATTACCAGTTCATACATCTCCTTCTGTGTCCTCTCCCTTGTCAGGTTGGCAGTCTGCAACACACGCTTCCTGCAGCTTTACACTGAGGCGGATGAGAGGGTGAGGCCTTTAGTCTACACGGTGCGCTACTGGGCAAAACAGCAGAGTCTAGCAGGTAAATAGAGAACGAGGAATAAGGATCCATACAGTTTGGCAATCTGGAACATTGGACATGTTAGATTTCAGATTTTTCATAATTCAGTTTCATTAATGTTTGGATTATCTGGTCTGAGATACAGTTGGCGGGAGAGGCCATTTTTGATTAGATCCTCCTTACTTTCCTGCAGGGAACCCTTTTGGTGGAGGCCCCCTCCTGACTAACTATGCTCTGACACTGCTGATCCTTTACTTCCTGCAGACGTGCAGTCCGCCAGTCCTGCCCACCGTTGTCCACCTGAGGGAACAGTCAGGTAAGTGTTTTCTCAGGTTCGGATGCTGAACAGCTTTATGCTCCTCCGAATAGTGTCCTTCAGGAGCATTGGACTATAAGCTCTGTCATCACCATGGAACATGGGCAGTTGACTGAGGATGGAGTCCAACACACCTTGCGGTAACCTGGCTTCAACTGTGTAGAGTTTTGGCCTAGTTATTCTTGAATTTGTTCTTGTTGTTTCTTTCCATGACTCTAAGGCAGGCATGCGTAAACTTTCTAACTTTGGGGCTGCATGCTAGCACTCCCTGTGATGGATGGGAGTTAGGGAGGGAGAGAGGGAGGGAGAAAAGGGAAGGACGGACGTATGGACAAAGGTAGGAAGGATGGAAGGAGAAAAGGGGAGAGAAGGAAGGAGGGAGGAAAGAGGGAAGAAAGACAAAAGAGAAGGGAGGGAGGAAGAGGGAAGGATAAAGGAAAGAGAGAAGGAAGGAAAGACAAAAGATAAGGAAGGAAAGAAGGACAAAACGATGGATGAGAAAAAGGGAGGGAGGAAACAGAAGGAAAGACAAAAGGGAGGGAAGGAAGGAGGAAAGAGAAGGAAGGAAGGGTTGAAGGTTGGAAGGGAATGGTGAAAGAGGGAAGAAAAGAGAGGAAGGAAGGATGAAAGGATGGATGGAAAGAAGAAAACCCTAACCCTGCCCCTTTCCTTCTTCCCCAGGTGACACAGAGCAGGCCATAGTAGATGGCTGGGACTGCAGCTTCCCCAAGGATTCGGCCCAGTGCGATCCAAGCAAAAACAAGGAGAGCCTTTGTGAGTCACTCTGAGGAAATTAACACCTAGATTCAAATGTGGGCATTTTTAATGGGACATTAAATAGGTTCAGGCCTTCCCTGGCACACCAGTTCAATCCCATGTGCCGTTCTTCCTCTTTTGGGAAAATATGTGGCTAGAAGATCAGTGTCTGTGATCTGCATGCGACATACCAGGGTAGAGAATTAAAAATGCAGTAGAGAGGGGGGAAGGTGTAACAAGATTGCAACTATGGTATATATCAGTGATTCCTATTTATTTTATTTTATTTTATTTTCACCTTTATCCTTGTACATGATCTAAGGTGACTGGCATTTCTGAGAGCCTTCGCAGTAGTTGTGTGGGTCTTTCAGTTGCTTTCTTCCTATAGTGGGTTTCCACAATATGTCTGAAATGTTACTACTTGACATATAAGAGGAGGGCAACTAAAATGATCAGAGGTCTAGAGACCATCCCCTATGAGGATTGTCTTACATAACTGGGCATGTTTAGCCTGTAAAAGAGAAGGTTGGGGTGAGATATGATAGCCATGTATAAATATGTGAAAGGATGCCAGAAGGAAGAGGAAGCAGCCTTGTTTTCTACTGCCCTGGAAAGTAGGACTCGGAGCAATGGGTTCAAATGACAGGAAAGGAGATTCCACCTGAACATTAGGAAGAACTTCCTGACTGTAAGAGCTATTCAGCAGTGGAACTCAATGCCTTGGAGTGTGGTGGAAGCTCCTTCCTTGGAAGCTTTTAAACAGAGGCTGGATGGCCATGTGGCAGGTATACTTTGGTAGTGCCTTTCATGCAGGGCAGGCAGGGTTTTTTAAAATATATTTATATACTAGTTTGGGAATCCGGTGCGGTTATTTGAAAAAGGCATTGTTTGTTTTGGGATGTTATTAGAAAAAAAGCCAGTCTTTCCTTTTGTTGTTTATGAATGCTCCCATTAGAAAATGCATAAGGATGTGGGTGAACTGAAATTCCCAAAATTGTGGGCCAAACACCCTAAACTCCACCTGTATTCAAAGTTGACCATGTTGGATCTGTGTGCCAAGTTTGGTGCAAATCCAACGTCGACTGTGTTCAGTGCTCTCTGGATAAGGGAAAACTGCAACTCCCAGATCCAAGAACAATCACCCCCAAACCCCATTTATGTTGGGTGTGTGTGCCAAATTTCGTGCAGATCCGAAATTTGGTCCAGATCCATCATCAGATGGGTTCAGTGTTCTCTGAAAATGGGTGAACTACAGGGTGAGGCAGCATAACTTCCTTTTTTCAAAACTTAATAAAACCCATTGTATGAATCAGAATTTTTTAATAATGTAGGCACATACCTAAAGTTTTGTTTTACTTAGTTTTGAAGATCAAATTAGGTAGGTGACATCCCCCATTCTCCATTCTCCATACAATGAGTAAACCAATTTCTGGCGTTTGAGTGACTCTTGCCAGCATAGCAGGCGTTCTGTTGGCAATTTCTCCCTGGATGTTGGTCTTCCAGTCTTGTAGGGTCCTTGGATGGTTCACATAAACATGGGATTTCAAAAAACCCCATAGAAAAAAATCACAAGGGGCCAAATCTGGAGAGCGGGCCAGCCACTCCAATTTTGCTTGAAAAGTAGGCCTCAACGGCAAAAGCATGCTCCTCACTGTTCCAACGCATGATGGCGACTGAACTGTTTCAGGACAAAACTTTATACTCTCGCCTCTCGAATGAGACCACTAGCGTTCCACTACGTCTTCAAACAACTGAATGGTGCGCATTTGAAAAAAGGAAGTTATGCTGCCTCACCCTGTATAACTCCTGTATGTTTATGTTCAATCACCCTCAAACTCCAGCACTATGCAAAGTAGACTGTCTTGGGTCTGTGTGCCAAGTTAGTTCCAGGTCCATCGTTGGTGGGGTTCAGAGCGCTCTTAGATTGCAGGTGAGCTATACATCCCAGTCCCTACAACTCCTATAAATCATGGTGAATTCTTCCCAAACTAACCTCTCTCTAATATGTTCAGTTGTTGAGTGCCATAGAAAAGAATGGGAAAGGGTTAAGGGAGAGACAGTGAGCGAGGTCATACAGATTCCACACCAATGGAGAGAGAAAGGAACACTGGGAATGTGGCTCACTGTAACTGTCTGTGTAAGTGGACACCCCTGCCACAAACACACATATAGATTCACTTTTATTATGTGTATAGATGTAGATAGATAGATGATAGATAGATAGATAGATAGATAGATAGATAGATAGATAGATAGATAGATAGATAGAGATATTACAGTTGCCTTCGGGCTGATATGGCCAGGATAAAAGTAACGTAAATAAAATAAATAAATAAATAAATACAGTCGATGACCAGTAACAGAAAAGGCAGGGGGTTGCACTAGATGGCCCATGTTGTCTCTTCCAACTCTATTATTCTATGTTTCTATAATTCAGCATCCTGGAAACCTGTTTGTACTTTTTGTGGGGGATGAAGAAGGGTTTGCATTCTTTCCCTTTAAAAAAAATTGTACAACTGTAACTCTCTCTGATTCAATAGCTACTTTCCTCTCATTCCAGGCTCCCTCTTGGCAGAATTCTTCCATGTCTTTGAAGACTATGATTTTGCCGGCGGCGTGATATCCCTCCGGGAGGGCCAGCTGCTTTCTTTGCCCAGCTTCCTGTCTTCTGAAGCTAGCAGCAAATTCAAAACAGGGTCGTTCAACCTTCAGGATCCCTTTGAGTTGAGCCACAATGTAACAGCGAACGTCAACAAGAAGACAGCGCTGCGGTTCCAGTTGTGCTGTCGCAGCGCTGCCAAATACTGCCGGAGTTTGCAGTACCAACGCAAGTCTACAAAGGGCAAGATCTGGGGCCTAGTCCGCCTTTTCCAACGAGGGAATCTGGAGGCCGAGGCTCCTACCGATAAAGAGCTTGTTATTAACCTTCCTTTGACAATGTGCCAGGGTAAAGATTCGCACCAGCTTTGGTTCCAAAAAGTGTGCGCCGGTGTCATGTTTGTCTTTGAGGATGTGCTGAAATGTAGCTTCTCGGAGACGCAGCAGGGGTTAGGAGAAGAAGGGGCATCCATTGCAGAGCCAGAAGCAAAGAGTGAGCTGTTGTCATCGGGGTTCAAGCGGCCCCTAGATAATGGGGATGACAGTCTATCCCCTTTGGCAAAAAGGCCACGAAACGGCCCTTGGCTCCCTTTTGAGAAAAGCGTGACATGGAACTGCGCCGTGTGGCACCACGTGTGGCTGAGCCGGCGGCGCATCCGGCGGCAGCTGGACCCCATAGAAAAGACCAATTTGCTGGAGCTGGAGGCGAAAGTGTCAGCACTCATTTCCCAGCAGGAAGGGGAAGCAAGGCCTGCAGAGCCTCTCCTGCGCTTTGCCGTTCGTGCCCAGTTCAATGCAGAGGACACTTCCGATGAGCAAAACACACACATCAGTTTGAGTTTCGCTCTGGATCCTGAACAGGCTGTTGCTTTCAAGGATTTCTTCCATTTTTTGCAAAACTTTTTGCCCCAGATGTTGGAGCAGCACCTGGCTGCCCAGATTCCTTGAATAAATTGGAGAGAGGAGAACCACCCAATAGTGCAGGTTATGATTATGTAAAGCGGGCATGAGCAAACTTTGGCTCTTCCCCCAGGTGTTTTGGATTTCAACTCCCACCATTCTTGGGCTGTTAGGAATTGTGGAAGTTTGAAGTCCAAAACACCAAAAGGGAGAGCCAAAGTTTGCCCATGCCTGTTGTAAAGAATTACGGATTTGTATAGCTGCATTGTGCTCTTACAAAGAAGAGGTAGTAAAGCAATATTTTTATTTCATTGTTTACTTCAGTTACTTCTCATGCTTTACATTAAAGTATTTCTGATATCTACATTTTTCTAGTGATGGTGAAACGATGTTGTTTTATCTCATTGCTTCTTTCCTTCATTTCCTCTCTTGCTTTACCACATAAAAAGGTAATTAAATATTTCCAAAGGGAGGGGATATGTCCTGAACCCAGTGTTTTATTAGTGACCTGTTTGATGGAATAGAAGGCACTGCTGGTCACATTTGTAGATGGGACTAAATTGGGAAAAATAGCTACCAAAATACCCCAAGGGACAGAATCAGGATCCAAAATTACCATTCACCGATGAGAGACCTGGGCCAATGCGATTCTATACTGCATCAATAGGATAGCGTCTAGTTTGAGGAAATTCCGAGTCCCATTCTATTTTATTTTGGTCAGGCCTCACCAAAGCAATTCAAGGAAGATATGGACAAGATGTTTTTTTATTTATCATATCAGAAGCGAATTGAGAATACAGTTACAATGTATAGAAAAACCACAAACAAAGTTAAAAACTTGGCATTATACTAAAGTTCCTTTGACCAGAAGCTGGCCACTTGAAGTACCTCTGGTGTCGCTGTGAGAAGGTCCTCCATTGTGCATGTGGCAGGGCTCAGGCTGCATTGTAATAGGTGGTCTGTGGCTTGCTCTTCTCTAAACTCGCATGTCATGGCTCCATTTCTTAAGATTAGCTCTGCTTCTCGTGGTCCCAAAGCGCAGCCTGTTCAGCACCTTCCAAGTCGCCCAAGGGGGAGTCTCTCATCCAGTGTCAGTCACTGAGCGAGGTTCCAAGTTTTGACCTGCCACTTTTGGACCCTCTTTTGCTGAGGTGTTACTGCAAGTATCTCTAGATCTTAGGAAGCTGTTTCTTGATTGAAGGCATTGGCTTGCTGGCTGATATCCGAGCAGAGGATGGGCTGGAGGTGTCACTGTCTTGGTCCTTTCATTACAGGCCGCTACTTCCTGGCAGATGTCAGGTGGTGCAATATAAATATAAACAGTATAATTTATCTAGTGTAGGGTGTAGACATCCTGTGATAATGTGGCATGTCTCATTAAGGGCCACATCCACTGTTTTAACGTGGTGAGATGTGCTGCACGCTGGGCATGCGTATTCAGCAGCAGAGAAGTAAAGCGCAAGGGCAGATGAATTCACTGCGTCTGGTTGTGATTCCCATGTACTAGTCAGCTTTGGTATGATATTTCTTGCTTGATACTCAAGCAGTGCCTCAACTGGATTACTGTAATGCACTCTGTGGGGCTACCCTTGAAGACGGCCCGCAAACTACAACTTGTCCAATGCTCGGCAGCTAGATTAATAACTGGGGCAACTTACAGGGAGCAGTCAACCCCCCTGTTTAAGGAGCTCTACTGGCTCCTACAAAGCCCTAAACGGTTTGGGACCCGCCTACCTTTGTGACCGTATCTCCCTCCATGTACCATCTCGGGCCCTCCATTCATCTGGGGAGGCTCTTCTTTCGCCCCTGCCAGTTTCACAAGCTTCCCTGGTAAGCACAAGGGGGAGAGCTTTCTCCTCTGTGGCCCCCCGACTTTGGAACTCACTACCTGGACAAATTAGGAAAGCCCCTACCCTAGAAACCTTTAAAAAGGACCTTAAAACCTGGCTCTTCCGCTGCGCCTTTKGTGAGTAGGTATACAATTCCACACTACTGCTTAGCTTCAACGTTCTGTCATTGGAGTATATGTCATCGTCCCCTCTTGATTCCACARCCCCCGCTATARTGAGCCCTCCTCCACAAATAATCTGTCTCTTTTTTTTATCTCGCCCGAGTTTTAATTTGTTTTAATTAGTCTCTCTTTTAATCATTGCATGTAGCCCGCCCATTGTCATTGTGATTGCGTCTATTGTAATTTTATATTGTTATATATTTACATGTTATATTTTATTATAATGTTGTTTACTGTTTGCRTTTTCAGTTGTGTAATGGTTTTATTTTATTGTAATTTGTTGTTCGGGCTTGGCCTCATGTAAGCCACTCTGAGTCCCCACTGGGGAGATGGTGGTGGGGTATAAATAATAATAATAATAATAATAATAATAATAATAATTATTATTATTATTATTATTATTATTATTATTATTATTATTATTATTATTATTATTAGTCAGAGCTCAATTCAGAGTGAGTTCCAGGTATTTGGTTGTGCTGCAATTATTATTATTGGTCTTGTCAGGAGTGATTTGAGAAAGTGGGAGGCTTCTCTCATGTCCCCGCATGAGGAGATGATAGAGGGAGCTCATCCGCCTCTCCCCGGATTTGAACCTGCGACCTTCAGTCCGGCCAGCACAGGGGTTTAACCCACTGCGCCACTGGGGGCTCCAGTGGGATTCCTTCCCTGGTAATCCTCAGAGCTTGAGATGCTTGTTTGTTCTGAAGGTGAAAAGCACACCTCTGTGTTTTAGATGGATTAGAAATCAGCTGGTTTTCCCTGTAATAGGCATTAAGAGCACCTCAAGCTTTGGATAGCTTCTGTTCAATCATTTCAAAGCTCCCTGCTTGAGCGGTGATGGCATGATCATCAGCATGGATGAAACTTACTGTCCCTTCTGGTAAGGACTGGTCATTTGTGTAAATGTTAAACATTGATGGAGCAAGCACGCTCCCCTGAGGCAGGCCGTTCTTCCGTCTTTGCCATCTGCTTCTCTGGCCCTGGAACTCAACAAAAAAAAATCTCCTGTTTTGTAACAGATTTCCTAGGAAGCGGGCAAGGTGATAATCCTTCTACATTTTTTTTAGGAGCAATGATTTCATAGAATCCTAGAGTTGGAAGAGACCTCATGGGCCATCCAGTTCAACCCCCCACCAAGAAGCAGGAAAATCCCATTCATACACCCCCAACAGATGGCCACCCAGGCTCTGTTTAAAGGCCTCAAAAGAAGGAGCCTCCACCATACTCTGGGGCAGAGGGTTCCACTGGTGAACAGCTCTCAGTCAGGAAGTTCTTCCTAATGTTCAGATGGAATCCCCTATTCTTGTAGTTTGAAACCATTGTTCCGATTTACATCATAAGCTGCCAACAGGTCTGTGAAGACAGCTCCTGTAATATGAACAAGATGATCAATGGATTCAAATGGCTGAAGAGATTCTACCTAAAAATTAGGAATATGTTTTTATACCTGAGGCCATAATAAATATCCTGAAGAAATTAATTACAGTTTAATCAATATCCTAAAGATATTGATTACAGTTTAACTTTCTTTCCTCTCAATAGGCCCTGCCAGAAGGGACAGAGAGTTTCATCTATGCTGATGATCGTGCCATTACTGCTCAAGCAGGGAGCTTTGAGATGGTAGAACAGAAGCTCTCTGAAGCTCTAGGTGCTCTTACTGCCTATTACAGGGAAAACCAGCTGATCCCTAATCCATCTAAAACACAGACATGTGCCTTTCACCTTAAGAACAGACAAGCATCCCGAGCTCTGAGGATTACCTGGGAAGGAATCCCATTGGAGCATTGCAGCGCACCCAAATACCTGGGAGTCACTCTGGACCGTGCTCTTACCTACAAGAAGCACTGCCTGAACATCAAGCAAAAAGTGGGTGCTAGAAACAATATCATACGAAAGCTGACTGGCACAACCTGGGGATCACAACCAGACACAGTGAAGACATCTGCCCTTGCGCTTTGCTACTCTGCTGCTGAGTATGCATGCCCAGTGTGGAACACATCTCACCACTAAAACAGTAGATGTGGCTCTTAATGAGACATGCCGCATTATCACGGGGTGTCTGTGCCCTACACCACTGGAGAAATTACACTGCTTAGCCGGTATTGCACCACCTGACATCCGCGGGAAGTAGCAGCCAATAGTGAAAGGACCAAGGCAGAGACATCTCCAGCTCATCCCCTGTTTGGATATCAGCCAGCACGTCAACGACTTAAATCAAGAAATAGTTTTCTAAGATCTACAGAGACACTCACTGGAACACCTCAGCAAGCGAGAGTCCAAAAGTGGCAGGCTCAAACCCAGAACCTCAACCAATGGCTGATACCAAATGAGAGACTCCCCCTGGGCACACAGAGGACTGGGCGACTTGGAAGGCGCTGAACAGACTGCGCTCTGGCACCACGAGATGCAGAGCCAATCTTAAGAAATGGGGCCACAAAGTGGAATCCACGACATGCGAGTGCGGAGAAGAGCAAACCACTGACCACCTGCTGCAATGCAACCTGAGCCCTGCCACATGCACAATGGAGGACCTTCTTGCGGCAACACCAGAGGCACTCCAAGTGGCCAGATACTGGTCAAAGGACATTTAATCAACTACCAAGCTTGCAAAATTTGTTGTTTTTTTAATCTGTTTGTTTATTTGTTCTGTTAGAAATGTAATACAATGTTCTGGTTGCGGATGACACGATAAATAAAATAGGCACAGTGAAAACAATGGGATTTTGCATTATCTAGTGTAGTGAGTGAACAGAGACCAATTTCTGAGGTCATAATGCCCTAAAAGTCTCAATATATAAAATCAGTTTAACTTTATTCCCTCTCAATAGCTGCAGTGGGGGGGAAACTGCGATTGTGTATGATCTCCTAGCGTGTGTATTGTCCCAAAATATATTTATGGGAGCTTTCAAGGCTCCTCAGGAAAGGAGGGCCAAAATGGCGGCCAGGCCCCAATCAAGAGACCGGCTCCACAGCCCAATTCACGAGGTTCCGGCTCAGTCAGAGGCCACGCCCCTTATGGAGCGCGCTGCCTTGCACAGTTCCCTAAAAGAGTAACGCATGCGCACTCGAACTCATCGCTCCATTTCCCCCCCCTCCACCGTTGTAAGGGCGGGCTATAAAAGCGGATCCCATTGGGTGCGGGTTGTTTTTTTTCCCCGGCATGCATTGCGGCAGGTAAGTATTTAACCCTTTGAAAGGGACGCGCTTGTCCTTTCCTTCAGAGCGGATTGCGGGTGAGTACCAGAGTAGGGGCAGTTCATAATCCGGTTCCATCCACGGCCTGGGGGGATTTTCGGTATTCTAGACCTCGCTATATTAATTCTAGACAGTTTCCCCCGCCGTGTTGTGCTCCTATTGTCCTCGACAGAGCTATCAGGAAAGGAGCGGATGCTCCGGAAGGGTCCTGGTCGGGCTTCGTGTGCAGATGAGGGCCTCAGGCATGGCGGGCTTTAGCAGTAATCAAGGCCCCAGTCCTATGTATCTTTATGTAGGCCCCTGGCCCTTTGAACCCTATGGAAACTTCATTCAAAGTAGGCATGGATGGATGTTGTTATTAGGGAACTATAATCATAATTTGCAAATGGATGCAGTTAGATGCCTTTTATCCTTGATAATTCCATTAATATTAAATTGTAATTTTATGTATTATATAATTATATATGTGTGTATTGCCATTATATATTATTACCTTGATTGAATATATTATAGTGTTATATGTCGTTTTACAATATATTTTATATATTTGTGTATTACCATTATGTAGTATATTACATCTTACATATATTGAGTATGATAGAATATTGTATTATATGTCATGTTAGAATATATTCTATCATATTTGTGCATTACCATTATATAGTATACTAACTGTCCCCTGCCACGCGTTGCTGTGGCCCACATGGGGGTTCTGTGTGGGCCCAATTTTATCGTTGGTGGGGTTCAGAAATCTCTGATTGTAGGTGAAATATAAATCCCAGCAACTACAACTCCCAAATGTCAAGATTCTAATTTCCCCTAACTCCACCAGTGTTCACATTTGGGCATATTGAGTATTTTTGTAGAGTTTGGTCCAAATCCATCATTGTTTCAGTCCACAGTGATCTCTGGATGTAGGTGAACTACAACTCCAAAACCAAAGGACACTGCCCACCAAACCCTTCCAGTATTTTCTGTTGGTCATGGGAGAACTGTGTGCCAAGTTTGGTTCAATTCCATTGTTAGTGGGGTTCAGAATGCTCTTTGATTGTAGGTGAAATATAAATCCAAGCAACTACAACTCCCAAATGACTGAATCAATTTTTTTTTTGAGTGAAGGACATACATTGGTTTGTTAGGTGTCTTGTGTCCAAATTTGGTGTCAATTCGCCCAGTGGTTTTTGAGTTCTGTTAATCCCACAAACGAACATTACATTTTTATTTATATACAGATTACATATTACATGAATTGAATATATTAGAATATTATTGTTTTATATTATTTATCATTTTAGTGTGTGTGTGTGTATGTGTGTGTATGTATGTATATATATATATATATATATATATATATTCTCTCAACCAAGAGTCTTGGGTAAAAGAACAGTGCAGTTTAAAAAGGAAATATCTACAGGAGTTCATCTACATTGTAGAACTCATGTGTTTTGATACCACTAAGTGCTCTCAAACTAGTTTTGCAAGCTCTTTTGTCTGCTCTGTCAAAGAATGTAGACCCCTCAGCAAAACTACAAAGCTCAGAATTCCATTGCATGAAGCTGTGGTAGTCAAACTGCATTAATTCTACAGCAGGCTTGGGCAAACTTGGGTCCTTGGAGTGTTTTGGACTTTAACTCCCACATTTCTTTCCTTTCCCCTTTCAGCCACTTGAGCTCAGAATGCTCTTTAATTGTAGGTAAACTATAAATCCCAGCAACTGCAACTCCCAAATGACTATCAATCCCCCTCCAAGTTTTCAATTTAAGGCGTATTGTGTATTTGTGCCAAATTTGATCCAGTGAATGAAAATACATCCTGCATATCAGATACTTACAGTATGATTCATAATAGTAGGAAAATTACAGTTATGAAGTGTTTCTTATGTGCCACAGAAAAGAATAGGAAAGGGTTAAGGGAGAGGCAGTGGGCGGGAGCATGCAAATTCCACACCAATGGAGATTAAGAAACACTGGGATGTCTGTGGTGGAGGAAACACAGAATTCTAGAGTTGTAAGAGATTGTGTGGGCCATCCAGGCCAACCCCCTGCCAAGAAGCAGGAAAGTAGCATTCAAAGCACCCCTGACAGATGGCCATCTCACCTCTGTTTAAAAGCCTCCATAGAAGAAGCCTCCACCACTGCTGAACAGCTCTCACAGATAGGAAGTTCTTCCATATGTTCAGGCAGAATCTAAATTCCTGTAGTTTGAAGTCATTGCGCCATTGCATCATAGTCTCCAGGGCAGCAGAAAACAGGCCTACTTCCCCTCACATACTTATACCTGGACTGCCTTCTCTTTTCTGCTTAAGTGGCTGAGGGGGGAAAGGAAGGGGCCTGAGGCTGTTGGGAATTGTGGGAGCTGAAGTTTGCTCATGCCTGTTCTACAGTATGTTGAAGATTAAAAAGTAAATCTGGCCCATCATTGGGTGTTTAATGTAAACCAGAGCTCATCTCCTCAATGTCTTTCTGTGATGAAACTTTACACAGACCTGTTCTGAAAAGTTCTGTGAAGTTAACTTTGTTTCTGAGAAGACTTCAGATAATGCTGTACTTTGTGAAGCTTTGAAATGAAGGATAGTGTGATCTGTGACACTGAATATTTTTTTCTAGATCCCTGGGTCTAAATCTTGTGATCTGTTTTCCAAGGGAGGGGAAACCCTAAGCCTCATCTTCCCAATGGATACCTCTCTGGTACGTTTAAGGTTTTGAAAAGTGGTACAAGTGTCATGTTTAGTCTGAAACCATCTTATCAGGCTGGAAATTTAATCTTTGCTATTTTCACCCACCTGCTTGCTTCAAGTAAAGACTTTCCAATTGACCTATATCGGGTATGGGCAAACTTTGGCCCTCTGGGTGTTTTGGACTTCAACTCCCAGTAGGCTGTTAGGAATTGTGGGAGTTGAAATCAAAACATCCAGAGGGCCAAAGTTTACCCATGCCTGTTCTATATCCTATATAAAAATAAATATCCACAGATTCAAGATTCCAAGGCTTGAGGTTTTGAGTAGCAAAGGGAAATGTTAACAGGGTTGCTATTGGGGTGTTTTTTTGGGGGGGGGGGGTTGGTATTGTACTGTGTGTTTTTTGTGTGTGTGTGTTGCTAGGCACTCTATATCATGTGTAAGCCACCCCGAGTCCCTTTGGGGGAGGTGGAGGCAGGGTACAAAAATAAAGTTATTATGGAGGCAGCCTTTGTTGGGAGGTGTTAGCTGGTCCTGATTGTTTCTTCACTGGAATGAAAACCAGTCCGTATTGTAATGGCGGTGTAAATGGGGCCTTGGAATATGTAAAAGATTTTTGGGAATTGGTTATAACAGAAATAGAAAATATTACGGATATAGAAATTAGGAGGAATCCAGTAGAAATAGTACTTTTAATTAAAAAAAAAGGATGGGAAAGATAAGAGGGAAAAAATTAATAGACATGCTATTAACAGCAGCTAGACTATTAATTGCAAAATATTGGAAAGGGGCAATGAAAATACAGATTAATGAATGGTATAAAGAAATCTGGAAAATGGCATTGAACGATAAGCTAACATCAAACTTAAATGTAAAGTAGGGAATATGTAAAAAAATGACTTTGAAAGTATCTGGAGAAAATTTCAAGAAAAATTATTGGAAAAAGAAGATGGGAATTTACCTCCAAATGAAGAACTGATTTTTTGGTGGGACTTTAGGAAAAGAGATGGCTGTGGAGAAGGGGCACACAGGGGTAAACGTAAATAAAAGAGAGGAAAATGTATAGTATATGTCCATATAACTGTATTTTCTCTTCTCAAATAATTTAAAAAAATTAATGGGGCCTTGGATACACAAGAGTTGGGATCAGCACATTTATTTTTGGTCATAATAGTCACACAATGATGGGTAGTGAAGTGTTGATCAAAAGTGCTACAGAGATGAGATACATGAACTCTCTCTTTCTGAAGCTTCAGTGGAGAAAACCATTAGCCGATTCTGAGTAGCACTAGCATCAGTGAAAGAGCAGAGACCCATTTTTGCTATCTTGTGTTCTCTCAGCTATAGCTCCCAAAATCCCCCAGCCAGTTGGGCAACTCAAGGTGAAGAAATCCATTCTATTTTTTTTCCTAAGCATTGGTTTTGTATGCAAGACACAAGGCAGCTTTGGGGTTTGAGTTGTGCAGTCCTGATTTGGGAATTCAAAAGATGTATTTTGTATACTTCCCCTTTCTCCTCTGTTCTGATTTGTAGATCAAGAGCCATTGGTGCACCTCCTGCCTTGGCATGTGAGTAGCCAGTTTCATTTAATAATTACCCAATCGTTTACTTCCTGTGTACAATGATGTAAATAAATAGACAAGCATATATCTGATATCTCTTGATGCCAGCTTTCTTTCTGAGGACATGGGGCTATCTTTTTCGGGAAGGGTGAACATGAGTGCACTTTAGTTCAATTTTATTCCAACTTTATTTCATTTTTCTTGATTTTAGGGTGTACATTGACAAGCAAACATCCATTTTGGTGAAGACTAATGAGGGTAGGTTTGAAGACTTTGTTGTCATGAATATAGGACATCTAGTTTGAAATGATGACACATGTTGATGGACGACGCAAGTCTTATGGCATGAGTTACCAAAGCCCTGATCAAACTGTATTTCACTGTAAAAAAAAATCACTTTTCTTGATCTTTATTCATCAAATCTTCTTTCATTTCAGGACCTATCGTTGCTTCTGGGTGCTTCTCCATTGACTTAGAAGAACTTGGCACCCAATAGGTGAGAGGTTTTGATAAAAGTGATATAGATGCAGGGAGTCATAATTTTATTTATTTATTTCATATATTTATATCCCGCCCTTCTCACCACAAGGGGGACTCAGCGCAGCCTCACATGAGCATCAGAGGATGCTAACAGCATAAATACCATAAAAATTACAATTCACAATAAAATCATTTTAAAACATTATACAACATCCGTAAGATTTAACAATAAATTAATAGATTAACGTGCCAGTAAAACCAAGCCGAGCCAGGAGAATCCAAATCACAAAATCCAAATTTCCTTTTCCTATTGCCACTGGCCTCTAATTGAACGCCTAGCCCCAGAGCCAGGTCTTCAGTTATCTTCTAAAGGACAGGAGGGAGGTGGCCAACCTGATAGCCTTAGGGAGAGAGTTCCACAGACGGGGGGCCACTGCCAAGAAGGCCCTGTCTCTCGTCCCCACCAACCGTGTTTGCGAGAGTGGTGGGACCGAGAGCAGGGCCTCTCCTGATGATCTTAAGCTTCATGATGGGTCATAGCAGGAGATACGTTCGGACAGGTAATCTGGGCCAGAACCGTTCGGGACTTAAAACTAGCATGTTGAATTGTGCCCGGAAGCTAATCGGCAGCCAGTGGAGCTGGACCAACAGAGGAGTGGTACACTCCCTGTACGCAGCTCCAGTTAACAACCTGGACGCCGACCACTGGACTAATTGGAGCTTCTGAGAAGTTTTCAAAGACAGCCCCATGTAGAGAGCATTGCAGTAGTCTATTCCAGATGTAACCAGAGCATGGACAACCGTGGCCAAGTCAGACTTCCCAAGGAATGGGAAAATATTGTTAAATTGCTGCTCCTATGAGCCTTCGCCTTGATTTGATCAAAGAATTGTGGTTCAGCCACTTTGGTCCAATGCAGAAGCCCTGTAGAACAGTTTAATTTGGATCACCTAATTTGTGTGCAAGCCCTAAATGTGTTTCCTGCCATTTAGACAATAAGGAAAAAGCCTAGGATTATTCTCAAAAGAAGGGCGGGGGGAAACCCAGTGCATCTGAGACTGCAATACATCAATGTTTTTGTTTTTTTAATTGCTTCAGCCAGATTAGGAAGATGTTTCCATGGCTTTGAAGTTTTCATTCAGAATGCAAGAAACACTCTTCCGCTTCTTTGGAGGCTTCCAGAAGAAATTAATGTGAGTTTTATCTCCTTGGCCTCAAATCTATTCTGGTTCCCAGTTTCATGATGAATTTGCTTTGGAATCTCGTTCGGCTGAATTTCGCTGTTGAGAAGCAAATCTGAATATCTTTTGGGAACCAGAGAATCACAGGGTTGGAAATGACCTCTTGGGCCATCCAGTCCAACCACTTTTTGCCAAGAAGCAGGGAAATCGCATTCAAAGTACTCCCGACAGATGGCCATCCAGTCTCTGTATAAAAGCCCCCAAAGAAGGAGCCTCAACCACACTCGTGCAAAACTACAAGAATTGAGACTCTGCCTCATGTATGTCTTTACATACATGGGGCAGAGTCCCAATTCTTGACTGAACTCTGGAAGTTTAAAAATTACTTGATTTAAAAAATAAAACAAGCATTTAAATGGCTGTACTCTTCCCCACCCTGGTGTCTTCTGAAAGTTTTGGATGACAGAACCCATTGGTGTTGTCTATTAAGATGTATCCTAATATATAAGGAAACGTCACTGGGGAATGTTGTGCTGAGATTACCTTTGATGTTTCAATGATCAAGCATTTTTCTCTACAGGATGGTGAGCTTGGACTTGAAGCATGATCCTACATGAGAAGGGATAACTGGTAAGAAGTACAGCTTGATTCTGGGATGGGTGCTTAATAATTACTCATTACGTAAATGCATTGTTGAAGGCTTTTGTGGATGGAAACTGTTGCTGTGAGTTTTCTGGGCTATCTGGCCATATTCCAGAAGCATTTTCTCCTTACATTTCTCCCACATCTGTCAGGCATCCTAAGAGGTTGTGAGGTTTGTTGGAAAATAGGTGAGCGAGGTTTATATAGCTGTGGAATGATGTCCAGGAGAAAGAACTCTTGCCTGCTTGGGACAAGTGTGACTTGCAATTGGTCAGCTTTATTAGCATTGAATAGCCTTGCAGCTTCAAAGCCTGGCTGATTCCTGCCTGGGGGAATCTTGTTGGGAGGTGTTCGTTGGTCCTAATTGTTACTTTTCTGGAATGAAAACCAGTGTGCATTGTAATGGCTGTGCAGATGGCAAGGCAGTCTGGAAAGCTCACCGCAACCCATTACTTATATGCTCAGATCATGTCTGACCTTCGCCACTTCACATTTGCAATAATCCTGGAGTGATAGGGTTAGGCTGAGAGTTTTTTACCTTTTCTCCAACTCAGAAGACCCTTTAGGAATCTCTTTCCTTTGTAATGGGAATCACTGCTGCAGTTTTAATGATGATCATAACTAGCTCACTTTGATATTGTAATGAAAATGTTTGAACAACTGAAAAACTGGGCAGAGAGACTAACTAGATTCGACATGCTTGTCTCTAGATAAGCAATGACTTGTCAAACCATTCACGTTACATATTTGTTTTAAAACCTTTTCTTTTTGTAAGCAGAAGCCTTGAAGCTATGCAGAAGAGAACATACATTTCAATGCAAAGGTGAGAGGTTACCCTTTGGAGAGAGACTTATAATTCTGTTGTTTGTTCCCAACTGGCTCCAGTGATGAGTTGTGTAACCGCCCCAGTCTGATTTCCATGACTGAGTGGTCCCTCTGAGTTTAGGAGCCTGCTGGGAGGAGGCCTTGCTGCAATCATATTGTGTTATTAGTTTAGAGTTTATCAGACAGAGCTTGAAAAAGTTGCTTTTGGGCACTATAGTTTCTAAAGTTCCCCAAGGAATAGTGACTTCAAATATTGAGTGCTCATTTGTTTCTTTTTCCATTCCTTAAACATGTCAGTTTTAAATCCCAGCTCATCTGAAAGTTTTGTATACACCCATCTTGGGTTTTTTAGGGCAGACACGGGCAAACTTTGGCCCTCTCTCCAGGTGATTTGGATTTCAACTCCAACAATTGTGGGAGTTAGAAGTCCAAAACACCTGGAGGAAGGGCCAAAGTTTGCCCAGGCCTGTTTTAGACATTTGCCGTATATTCTTGAGTATAAGCCAAGGTTTCAGCCCTTTTTTATGCTGAAAAATCCCCCCTCGACTTATACTTGATTAAAAGTTATGTATTATTTTACTGTTGTTGTTATTATTATTATTATTATTACATTTATTATTTTATTCTATTTATTATTACATTTGCACTATTTTACTCTATTATTATTATTATTATTATTATTATTAAATAATTATACACAAGATGAGCCCACAGCAGACAAGATCACTATGCTGGCTGTTGTAGTGGATCAAACATCGGACACTTCCCAAGCGTCTAGGACTGTGTGGTGTATTGGTGATTAATGCATGCAGATCCCAGTAAGGTGGTCTTCTGCAGCTGGCAGATGGTAATTTTGTCAGCGCCAATTATGTTTAAGTGCAGGCCAAGATCTTTAGGCACTGTACCCAGTGTGCCGATCACCACTGGGACCACCTTTACTGGCTTGTACCAGAATCTTTGCAGTTGGATCTTTAAATCCTCATATCATAGAATCAAAGAGTTGGAAGAGACCTCATGGGCCATCCAGTCCAACCCCCTGCCACATCGTGTCAACTTTTCCAGTTATTTCTCTTCAATCCTGCTGTTGCCTGGGATTGCAACATCGATGATCCATACTTTGTTTTTTAACTCGATCGTGAGGTCAGGAGTATTGTGCTCCAAACCTCTGTCTGAATTCTGAAGTCCCAGGGTAGTTTGACATGTTTATTATTATTATTATATTTATTAATATATTTTATTATTACCTAAGCAGTTAAAAAACAGGTTATTATTATTTTTGTTACATTTCTTATTCCTCTTTGTGAAGTATTGTGAAAGACACACATGGGTTATCTTTTTTATTACATTTATTGTTTTTATTATTGTTATATTTATTTTTCTCTATTATATTAATTATTTTACTCCATTATTTTGTTACTACATTTATTATTTTAGTTTATTATTGTTGGTACATTTATTATTTTACTCTATTTGTTATTTTATTTTTCTGTATTATTACATTTTTACTCTATTATTGTTGGAAGGATACGTAAGCACATTTGCATTGAAGAAGGTTAGAATAATAGTTTTAATCAGAGTTGGACAGCCTTATCTTAAATTAGTTTTATGTAAATACTCAGAAACATTAAACCCACTGATGCCTCAATTAATGTAAATTTTTTGGCATCTTTTTATTTTGAAATTTACCAGTAGTTGCGGCATTTGCCACTCTCAGCTTATACTCAAGTCAATAAGTTTTCCCTGTTGTGGTAAAATTAGGTGCCTCAGCTTATATTTGAGTCAGCTTATACTTGAGTATAGCACTTTTATGGTAGCACTTTTATCCTCATTTGAAATCGTTTGCAATTGAACTCCTTTTCCTGTAAACATTTCTGACCGTAGGGTTGGCTCTAAAGCCCAGACATCTTTTAACATTGGTTTTTCCTTTCCTATTTATAAGCCAATATTTATATTCTTCCTTTTTTTTCATTTAAAGCAGTACCCTACTGCGTGTCCAGTCGATCCATATATTTGTTGCTGCACTAAAACATCCAATATGACTTCAGTATCTTTAGCAGGTAAAAACCTTAATTTTTTTTAAAAAAAAGTTTAATAAATTAATAAAAATGAAAATATAATACAGGATTGATTTAAAAGCTTGGTTTAGTGTTTTTTAAAAACCCGAGTATTTGAAAAGAAATGAAGGGGTAATAATAAACGTTTTAGGCAGATCCCAATGATGATGTCTCATATGTCTTACTATCTGTTCTGGGGCTAGAACCTGCAAAGGTTGAACCCACTAGCACCAGCAGATGGGAAAGAGGATGCTTTGCTCCAGAAGGAACAGTCTGATGGGATGTCTCAGAGAAGCAGGCTTATCTGAATTCCTATATATGAATGTTTTCTTTGAATTAGTTTTGGATTATTTTGTTTCCTTTTCCTGCCCACAGATGATATATGCGGTCATTGAAGATGGTTGTGGGAAGAATTAATGAGAGAAGAGGTTATACTTATGGAAGCTAAACCCAAGTCGCCGACATTAGGCTTTCAATGTCCTGTTTGGGATTTCTTTGAGGATTTTCGTATTTATATATTTTTAGTTCAAGATGGTCTTCAGTTTTCAAGACGTAAATCTAATAAACTTTGTTAAAAAAAACATTTGGCATTATGGAGTCAGACTAATTGCATGACTTGAACATTTAAATTTAGCCTCATGAGGAAAAAGATGGGATGAAAATTACTATAAATTGTAGCAGCTGGAAAACTTATACCTGCATTTACTATAGATAAGCATTCATTAGCTAGGCACACTACATTTAGCATATAGTTTTTTTGGTGTGTGTGTGTGTCAGGAGCATCTTGAGTATTTATTTATTTCATTCATTTCTACCCCACCCTTCTCCTGGATCCCCAGGTGTTTTGGCCTACAACTCCCAGAAATCCCAGCCAGTTTACCAGCTGTTAAGAGTTCTGGGAGTTGAAGGCCAAAACATCTGGGGACCACAGGTTGAGAACCACTTGTCTTGAGAAACTGCAGGTCGCTTATGGTGTGAGAGAATTGGCCTTCTGCAAGGATGTTGCCAGGGGACGCTGAGATGTTTTACTATCCTATAGGAGGCTTCTCTCATGTCCCCACATGGAGAGCTGGAGCTGATAGACGGGAGCTCACCCTGCTCCCCAGATTCAAACTGCTGACCTTTCGATTAGCAGTCCTGTTGGCGCAAGGGTTTAACTCAGGGGGTGCCCAAACGTTTTAAACAGGGCCATGTCACAGTCCCTCAAACTGTTGGAGGGCCAGATTATAATTTGAAAAAAACATGAATGAATTCCTATGCATGCTGCACATACCTTATTTGTAGTACAAAAACAACTTTAAAACAATACAATAATTAAAATGAAGAACCATTTTAACAAATATAAACTTATTAGTATTTCAGTGGGAAGTGTGGGCCTGCTTTTGGCTGATGAGATAGGATTCCTGTTGTGTGCTTTCAAGTCATTTCAGACTTAGGTTGACCCTGAGCGAGGGCCGGGTAAATGACCTTGGAGGGCCCCGGGCCTTAGTCTGAGGACCCCTGATTTAACCCATTGCAGCACAAGGGTTTTACCCATTGTAAACACAATGTTGATGTCTATGCTGAAGTGAATTCAGATGGTGTTCATAAAGTTTGTACTTCTCTTGCCTTGTCACATCTTCCTCTAAGCCTTGTGGCAAAGTCCACAATGCATATTTCTTGGAAACGCCACACTTGGGAATTCAGTCCTGCTGTTCTTGTCTGACTAAACTGCAAATGTGAAATGGTGAAAGTTTAACTATGCTGAGAGTAAATCCTGTATGCTGTTGAACTGCAGTGTGTTCTTGCTAAATATAATGAAGTTTAGGAACTTGAAGAAGTTTAATAGCAAATGGTCCATTTCATGGAGGATAAAGCTTGATTATCATTCATTTGGTGTCTTTAGAGTATTTGGATAAGAAATGTAACACTAACAAATAGTTACATTGTAATAGTTACATTTGTAAGTCGGCCCCCTGGTGGCACAGCAGATTAAACTGCTGAGCTGCTGAACTTTCCAACCAAAAGGTTGGCTGTTCAAATCCAGGGAGCAGGATGAGCTCCTGCTGTTAGCCCCAGCGTGACCGCATCTCCGTCTACGAACCCACGCATTCACTCCGTTCATCTGGAGAGGCCCTGCTCATGATTCCACCTGCATCGCAAGCGCATTTGGTGGGGACACGAGACAGGGCCTTTTCTGTGGTGGCCCCCCGACTCTGGAACACCCTCCCCAAAGATCTTAGACAGGCCCCTACATTGGCTGTCTTCAGAAAGAACTTGAAGACCTGGCTGTTCCGATGTGCCTTCCCAGATTAGGAAATCTCCAATACCAAGTCCCAGAAGCACTTTATGAAAACTAAGATTGCCGCACATTGCACCTACCCTATAATCCTTACGTATGACCTGTCACATCAGCACTTTTAATTCTGTACCCATTACTCTGGCCCGGCCCATTTTTATTGTGTTTTTGGTGTATTGTTTATTGCTTCTTGTTTTGTTTAATATTGCTTTAATTGTTTTTAATTTGCTTTAGGTTGTATTGTTATGTTGTGTATTGAGGCCTTGGCCTTTGTAAGCCGCATCAAGTCCTTTGGGAAATGTTAGCAGGGTACAAATAAAAGTTAATAATAATAATAATAATCTGTTGACCTAGCAGTGAGTAGATCAATAGGGTACAGCTCTGGCGGGGGGAAGGTAATGGCATGCCATGCAGTCATGCTGGCCACATAACCTAGGAGGTGTCCATGGACAAAGCTGGCTCTTTGCTCAGGGAAACCTTTACCTATTACTCCTTAAGTCAGTATTCCAAACATTTCAGGTTGAAAACACTTTGTATGCATCTTTTTGTGACATGTCACTCAGTTTTACTAGCTACCTGGAAGATTAACTACCCCCTTGTAAGAAATACTGAAACATACATAAGTTGTAATGATTAAATGTATGGGGCAGCAGTGGCACAGAAGGTTCAACCACTAAGCTGCAGAACTTGCTGACTGGAAGGTTGGTGGTTCAAATCCGCAGGATGGGGTGAGTTCCTGTCATTAGCCCCAACTTCTGTCAACCTAACAGTTTGAAAACATGCAAGCGTGAGTAGATCAATGGGTACCACTAACTGCTCCATGCAGTCATGACCTAGGAGATGTTTCTACGGACAAGTCCGGCTCTTTGGTTTAGCAATGGAGATGAGCACCAGCCCCCAGTCAGGTTTGACTAGACTTAATATCTTATGGTGGCACAACATATTTCAAGAAACTCATTTTTAAAAAAATTATTGCTTATTTCACATATATTGAGAGGTGCATGCACTACAGCTGACAAACTAATAGAATCAGAGATGGACGAGACCTCATGGGCCATCCAGTCCAACCCCCTGCGAAGAAGCAGGAAAATTGCATTCAAAGCACCCCCAACAGATGGCCATCCAGCCTCTGTTCAAAAGCCTCCACCACACTCCGGGGCAGAGAGTCCCACTGCTGAACAGCTCTCACAGTCAGGAAGTTCTTCCTAATGTTCAGACAGACTCCTTTCTTGTAGTTTGAAGCCATTGTCCCATTGTGTCCTAGTCTCCAGGGAAGCAGAAAGCAAGCTTGCTCCCTCCTCCCTATGACTTCCTCACACATTTATACATGGCTATCATGTCTCCTTTCAGCCTTCTCTTCTTCAGGCTAAACATGCCCAGCTTTTTAAGCTGCTCCTCATAGGGCTTGTTCTCCAGACCCTTGATCATTTTAGTTGCCCTCCTCTGGACACATTCCAGCTTGTGACACAGTTTGGGAAGCTCTAGGTTAAGTGCTTACCCTATAGTACTGGTGCATATGTGAAAGAAATCAAACCCTAAAATCTAAGTTGACATATCCACGGGCCACTGTAAGCACTATCTTAACTGTTGCCAAAAAGGAACCATCCCCTTCCCTGAGTAGAAGGATTTTTCTGCGTGTGTGTCAGCAGCACTGACATGTCACTTCTGGTGTGCGAGAATTGGCCATAGATGGCAGTTGCCCAGGGGATGCCCAGATGTTTTACCATCCAGTGGGAGGCTTCTCATGTCACCGCATGAGAAGCTGGAGCTGATAGACAGGAGCTCACCCTTCTCCCCAATTCTAACCACTGACCTTTTCACCTTTTTGGCAAGAGTTTAGTTTGTCCCGGGATTAACTTCAAAGAAGTTCCAAATGCTTATATTCCTTTCACCGTGATGCTGCTTTTGTCAAGTTGCTCCTGACATGAAAAAAACAAACCCTATTGTAACAGGTCTGAAAACCAAACATTTGCTGATGATAAATCTGCATTTAGATGGTGTGCTAAACAAGCTGATTTTGCTGATGCATTTCCTGTAGAGTCAACTGTAAACCTTGCATGTTGTATATGGATGGAAGTCAAACCTTTTACTGGGTTGTATATGGATGGAAGTCAAATCCTTTACTGAGTTGCTGTGAGTTTTCTGGGCTGTCTGACCATGTTCCAGATACATTTTCTCCTCTTAACGTTTTGCCCACATCTATGGCAGGCATCTTCAGAGGTTGTGAGGTCTGTTGGAAACTAGACAAGTGGGGCTTATATATCTGTGGAATATAAAGGTGGGAGAATGAACTCTTGTCTGTTGGAGGCAATTGTGAATGTCACAATTAGCAAGCTTGATCAGCAACATTCACACTTGCTTCCAACAGACAAGAGTTCCTTCTCCCACCCTGAACATTCCACAGATATATAAAACCCACTCGCCTAGGCATCCTCAGAGGTTGTGAAGTCTGTTGGAAACTTGGCAAGTAGGGTTTATACATCTGTGTAGTAATGTCTAGGGTAAGAGAAAGAACCCTTGTCTGTTTGAGGCAGGTGTGAATGTTTTTGGTTTGGTTTTTTTTGTCGTTTCAAGAGCGACTTGAGAAACTGCAAATCACTTCTGGTGTGAGAGAATTGGCTGTCTGCAAGGACGTTGCCCAGGGGATGCCCAGATGATTTGATTTTTTTTTATATTCTTGTGGGAGGCTTCTCTCATGTCCCCACATGAGCTGGAGCTGATAAAGGGAGCTCATCCGCCTCTCCCCGGATTTGAACCTGCGACCTGTCAGCTTTCAGTCCTGCCGGCAAAGGGGTTTAACCCACTACCCCACTGGGGGCTTCTTGGTGTGAATGTTGCATTGGCCAGTTTGATTATAAATATGTGAGGAAGTCACAGGGAGGAGGGAGCAAGTTTGTTTTCTGCGTCCTTGGAGACTAGGACACGGAACAATGGCTTCAAACTACAAGAAAGGACATTCCATCTGAACTTCCTGACTGTGAGAGCCGTTCAGCAGTGGAACTCTCTGCCCCGGAGTGTGGTGGAGGCTCCTTCTTTGGAAGCTTTTAAACAGAGGCTGGATGGCCATCTGTCAGGGGTGATTTGAATGCAACATTCCTGCTTCTTGGCAGGGGGTTGGACTGGATTGCCCATGAGGTCTCTTCCAACTCTTTGATTATATGATTCTATGATTAGCATTTAATAGCCTTGTAGCTTCAAAGCCTGGCTGCTTCCTGCCTTTGTTAACAGGTGTTAGCTGGCCCTGACTGTTTTGGTTTTGAAGCTGCAAGACCATTCAAGGTGGCCAACTGCAACATTCACACTTGCCTCCAGCAGACAAGAGTTCTTTCTCCCACTCGACATTATTCCACAGATATATAAATCCCACTTGCCTAGTTTCCCACTGATCTCACAACCTCTGAGGATGCCTGCCAGAGATGTGGGTGAAACATCAAGAGAGAATGCTTCTGGAACATCGCCAGACAGCCTGGAAAACTCACAGCAACCCAGTGATTCTGGCCATGAAAGCCTTTGACAACACAAACCCTTTACTGCTGCCCAATGTTTTGTGACCCCAATATTGAGCTTAAGGCAATCCCATTCGAGGCCAGGACCCACAGTTTAAGAAGCAGTGCTTTAGGCTCCTCTCTCCCCACTCCTTGCAATAACTCAGGAAATCCTTGTTGGAGCAGTTTGGAGTACATTACAGGGTAAATGCAAATAGAAATCCTTGGGCTGGAAGCATGAAGGGGTTAAGCTAAGGGACAAGCTGAGACGCTGCTCCATGGAAATGTCCACAGACAGTTCCCTCTTGCGCAACCCACCCTCCCTTGGCTCGCTTTTGCGCACCCCAGCTGGCCTCCCAAGCTTTCTTTTCCCTCCCTGGGGCCCAGCGTTCCTAAACCTCTTATAAAAAGCCTCCGCTGGCAACGGTCCTCTTCGGCCAGCAGCAACAGGGCAAACGGATCTTGGCACGCAGCAGGCGACACAAGTGAGCCCGGGCCTGTTGTGTCTCCTGGATCGGGCCTCCGGGCCTGCCTTATGTCCCTGGGGGCTGAGATTTTGCTCCTGCACCTTGTTGAGCTTCTGTCCCCAGAGAATGCCATGGGTCGCTGCTGGCTAGGCCTGGTGTTTGCTCTTGCTGTGGCTGCCCCTGGCTGCGTGGGAGATGACCCGCCTGCTGCGACAGAGGTGACGGTGACCCACACGTGGACACCCTGCCTGGAAGAAGAACAAGAGAACACAGCAGCAGCAGAGGAAGAAGAAGAAGAGCGACGCCTGACGCCCAGATTCAGCAGCTGCATGCTGCGCTGTGCTGGCCAAGCGATGCTCAGGATGGTCAGCACCAAAAAGACCATCTCCCTCAAGCTCAATGAAGGCACAGAAGGTAAGGAAGAGGGGTTTTTTTTTGTTGTTGTGTCGGGAGCGACCTGAGAAACTGCAAGTCGCTTCTGGTGTGAGAGAATTGGCCGTCCAGACGTTGCCCAGGGGATGCCCGGATGATTTTTTGATGTTTTATCATCCTTGTGGGAGGCTTCACTGATGTCCCTGAATGAGGAGCTGGAGCTGATAAAGGGAGCTCATCCGCCTCTCCCTGGATTCGAACCTGCGACCTGTTGGTCTTCAGTCCTGCCGGCACAGGGGTTTAACCCACTGCGCCACCGGGGGCTCCAAGGAAGAGGTGATCATGGGCATCCCAAAAGGTCCCAAAGTCAAGATCTTTAGTGCCCCTTCCACACTTATTGTGATGCTCTACAGCAGAATTTTCCAAACTCTTTGTCAGCTGCATTGTGTAGGTGTGTTGCGTGAACGTAACGAGAAATCTCTGCGTCTGTATCAAATAAACAATAAATTGTATCTTTTAAATTTATATTTAAATGAAACATTTATTTATTTATTTATTTATTTCGAGTACTTCTACCCCGCCCTTCTTAACCCTCTAGGGGGGACTCAGGGCGGCTTATTACATGAGATACTTACTACATTTTTAAATGTACTTATTACATTTTAACTATGTTTGTATCCATATCTTTTATAAGGGATTGAATTAATCTCTGGTTTGCTAGTAAAATTGAATTACTGTGTTGGGAAACAAAGCATGTCTAAAGAGTGTTGCCAACATCAAGGGTTTGGAAAACTTATGACTGAATGTGTCCATTTGCTAGTATTTTATTTATTTATCATATCAGAAGCGAACTGAGGGTACAGTTGATTGTTGTTCATTCGTTCAGTCATTTCCGACTCTTCGTGACTTCATGGACCAGCCCATGCCAGAGTTCCCTGTCGGCTGTCACCACCCCCAGCTCCTTCAAGGTCAATCCAGCCACTTCAAGGATACCATCCATCCATCTTGCCCTCTTCCTTTTTCCTTCCATTTTCCCCAGCATCATTGTCTTCTCCAGGCTTTCCTTTCTTCTCATGTTGTGGCCAAAGTACTTCATCTTGGCCTCTACTATCCTTCCCTCCAATGAGCAGTCAGGCTTTATTTCCTGAAGTATGGACTGGTTGGATCTTCTCGCTGTCCAAGGCACTCTCAGAACTTTCCTCCAACACCACAGTTCAAAAGCATCTCTCTTCCTTCGCTCAGTCTTCCTTCTAGTCCAGCTCTCACATCCGTAGGTGGATATGGGGAATACTATTGCTTTGACTATGCGGATCTTTGTTGCCAGTGTGATGTCTCTACTCTTCACTGCTTTATCGAGATTGGTCATTGCTCTCCTCCCAAGAAGGAAGCGTCTCCTGATTTCCTGGCTGCAGTCTGCATCTGTAGTAATCTTTGCACCTAGAAATACAAAGTCTGTCACGGCCTCCACGGTTTCTCCCTCTATTTCCCAGTTGTCAATCATTCTTGTTGCCATAATCTTGGTTTTTTTATGTTTAACTGCAACCCAGCGTTTGCCCTTTCTTCTTTCTCCTTGGTCATAAGGCCTCCTCAGCTCCTCCTCGCTTTCAGCCATCAAATTGGTATCATCTGCATATCTAATGTTGTTAAGGTTTCTTCCAGCAATTTTCACCCCAGCCTTGCGTTCCTCAAGCCCTGCACATCGCATGATGTGTTCTGCATACATGTTGAATAGGTTGGGGAGAGTATACAACCCTGCCGTACACCTTTCCCAGTCTTGAACCAGTCTGTAATTCCATGGTCTGTTCTTACTGTTGCTACTTTATACAAATTCCTCAGGAGAGAGGTAAGGTGATTTGGTATGCCCAGACCACCAAGAACTTGCTACAATTTATTATGATCCATACAGTCAAAGGCTTTAGAATAGTCAATAAAGCAGAAATAGATGTTTTTCTGAAACTCCCTGCCTTTCTCCATTCTCCAGCATCCGGATATTGGCAATTGGGTCTCTCGTTCCTCTGCCTTTTCTAAACCCAGCTTGTCCATCTGGCAACACTCTCTCCATGTCTTGCTGGAGCCTTCTTTGCAGGATCTTGAGCATTACCTTCCTGGAATGAGAAATAAGGGCCACTGTACAGAGGTTTGAGCGGTCTTTAGCATTTCCCTTTTTTGGTATGGGGATATAAGTTGATTTTTTTCCAGTCTGATGGCCATTCTTGTGTCTTCCATATTTGCCGTCATATGGCATGCATCACCTTGACAGCATAATCTTTCAAGATTTTGAACAGTTCAGCTGGGATCCCGTCATCTCCTGCTGCCTTGTTGTTAGCAATGCTTCTTAAGGCCCATTCAACCTCACTCCTCTGGTTCTAATTCACTCACCAGTTGTACAGTTGTAATGTACCTAAAAAAGCACAAAGTTTAAAAGAATGTCCTTTGACCAAAAGCTGGCCACTTGGAGTGCCTCTGGTGTCGCTGTGAGAAGGGCTCAAACTACATTGTAATAGGTGGTCTGTGGTTTGACATTCTCCACACTTGCATATTGCAGACTCCACTTTGTAGCCCCATTTCTTAAGGTTGGCCTGGCATCTCGTGATGCGAGGGCGCAGTCTGTTTGGCGCCTTCCAAGTTGCCCAGTCTTCTGTGTGCCCAGGAGGGATTATCTCATCTGGTATCAGTCACTGATTGAGGTTCTGGATTTTAGCCTGCCACTTTTGGACTCTTGTTTGCTGAGGTATTTCTGCAAGTATGTGTAGGTCTGGCTGATATCCGAACAGAGGAATGGCTGGAGATGTTGTTGCCTTGATCCTTTAATTATTGGCTGCTACTTCCTGGCAGATGTCAGGTGGTGCAATACCGGCTAAGCAGTGTAATTTCTCCAGTGGTGTAGAGCATAGCTCCCACTTTTTGCTTGATATTCAAGTTGTGCTACTTGTAGGTCAGAGCACAGTCCAGGGTAACTCGGAAATATTTGGGTGTGCTGCAGTGCTCCAGTAGGATTCCTTCCCAGGTCATCCTCAGAGCTCGAGATGCTTGTCTGTTCTCAAGATGAAAAGAGCACATCTGTGTTTTAAAGGGATTAGTAATCAGCTGGTTTCCCCTGTAATAGGCAGTAAGAGTACCTAAAGCTTCGGAGAGCTTCTGTTCAGCCATTTCAAAGCTCCCTGCTTGAGCGGTGATGGCGTGATCGTCAGCATAGATGAAACTCTCTATCCCTTCTGGCAGTAGCTGATCATTTGTGTAAATACTAAATATTGATGGAGCAAGGACGCTCCCCTGAGGCAGGCTATTCTTCTGTCTTCGCCATTGTCTTTGGCCCTGGAATTCAACAAAAAAAGCTGTTTTGTCACAGATTTCTACCCTGAGTCCCTTCGGGGATATAGAGCAGAATATAAATGAAGATTACTATTATTATTATTATTATTATTATTATTATTATTATTATTATGTAGTGGGTGATGTGGTAATCCTTTGTGATATTATACCTTTTTTTTTTCACGAGAAGGCGACGATTTATAGCATTATATGCTGCTGAGGAGGTCGTCCTTTGCAATATTATATGTTTTTCCTCAGGAGAAGGCCATAATTTACAGTGTCATAAGCTACTTACTGACAGGTCTATGAATTTTCTGTACTCTTCTGCCTTTCAGAAAATACATAGATATACAATACAGTACTTAATCTGAATTATATACATAATAAATAACTACTGGTGGCTCGAGAAGGTTGCTATTTCCAACAACTAGTAGGTTTCCCTTTGTCCCTTTTGCAGGTGAGGAGCATGAGTTTTGCTGGATGCTGCGCCTGCGCTGTCAGAAGGGAGAGGAGCTCACCAAAGCCTTTGTCCTACTCAATCTGGAGGGGGGTCAGCCGCCGCCTTACAGACTACTCCTCACTGCCCCTCCTTCACTCCGCCAGCATTTGCAGGCCCGTCAGGGCAACCGTGGCACAAAACTATTGAGTGTGGAAGCCTGTGGCGTCCGCTTCGACGTGACGGAACTGTTCCGTAGCGCCGAAGGAGGCCAGGATGCCCAGATGTGTGTCAAGGCTATCTGTCCTGAGGAAGGTGTCTGTGGAGAATGGACGCTGGGCCTGCACTGCCCACCTTTCCTGGCCACTTTGTGGCGCAGTCCTCCCCGTCCTGACGGTTAAGGCAACAGGAAAGTCAAGAGGTTCAACTCTGTCGTAGAGGACAGTGCCTTATGACTTGGGAACAGGGGGGGGGGGGGGGGGAGAGAAGATGTGTTTTCTAGCATTCCAACCGTTATTTAATGAAGAGTCATTTTCAAAGGGCCTTTATTGCTAACGCACAGAAGTAGTGATGTCATTAACAAACATTATTTTGTCAAGACCGAAAGATATCCTGATGATTACCTGTATAAAAGCGCACATGTCAATTGTTTCCAGGATTATAAATCACACTCATGTCCTAATGCAACAAGAGAAAGGGCTTTCCTTCCTTTCCAAGATCTTAAGGCAATGATAATTTAATTGCTTCTGATAATACTTTTAGGGTTCCTGCTATATGGCCCCCTCACATTCACTACCAACACATATCCCTGTTTGTCCTCCCCACCATGACATGATAGATGGACACATACACTACAAGTACATAACCCTGTTCGTCTCCACAATGACCTGACTGCATGTTCATTTCATAGGAATCGTAACAAAAGGGCACACAGATTGACCTGAGGGCACATTCCCATAATCTCTCTCATAATGTACCTATAAAATGCTAGCATCATTACTTTAATTGGTGTCCCCACCACTGAAGTGTTAAAAAAGAGGAACTGGTGAGCTCAGGTGCATAAACCGGGAGCTGTAAATGAGCCTTTGAGCTTGTGTCCCTTCCTTCGCTGGTGTCTTCGTATCAGCCACCATGGCTGAGGTACCTTTTGTTAAGCTAAAAGCTATTTTCATGGTAGATCTGTGAGCTATTTTTTTAATAAATGGGAGCACAAATAAAGGACAGATGTGCCACACAGGTGTAAAAAATGAATTGGTGATATCTGTCTTTCTCTCATTTTGTCTTTGTAGAAACCTGTGAGGACATAGTACTAAAATGTAGCCTACTGTAAATAAAAGTACTCCAAAGACACTGCTATTTGTGTGCTCCTTCCTTCCTTCCTCCTCCTCCTTCCTACCTTCCTTCCACCTCTTTCCTTCCTTCTTCCTTCCTCCTCCTTATGAAGTCGAGCACGAATTTGGGTCTCACCCTGGAGGGAGAGACCTGGCAGATCCAACAAGGAGGACCCGCTACTTTGGAGAACAAAAAAAAAGAAGAAGCCGCAAAATAGAATTTCCCTAAGATTCCCAAATGAATCTCACCAAAGTTGAAGGAAGCGCCACCGAGTTGTTTATTTCGATCCAGCTGGAGAGGATGCAAAGCCACGATAATTCGACGAGCAAGCATTCATTTAATACAAAATAAAGCCTTTTTATAGAAATACAGAGTTGTCAGATTCAACTTTCCTGCCCCCCCCCCAAGCCGGCTTGGCGCTGATTGGCTGGCAGGCTTGGCCACCTCCCGAGCATCTTAACCAATGGGTGCCCACGCCGCTTTGGCCCTCCGGCCAATCAGGAGAGGGGGAGGTGGGACGAGAGGGAAATAATGGAAACTTGAGTGGATTATGGTGATATGTTGCGCCCAGGTGGTCGGTGAGTCCTCAGGGGCCTTCCAGCTGACCAGCTATTGTGATGAGGGGTGGCGATTATTATTTGATGTCTGGCGAGATGGGCAGAACCCGGATTTTCCTTTATATGGGAACAATGGAGTAATCTTGGCGGCAGTCTTTGGTTAATGGAAGGAAACGGAGCAAACAGATCTGGACAAATTGTGGCTTTCCGAAGGCCTTTGGCAAGAAATGATTGTTTTTGCCGAGCAGACACTTCCCCTGAGCGGCCATAGTCCGAGACTCGGGATCAGTGCCCATTGTATTGTCCATGCAAAAGAGTTTCTTATCAGGATCCTTTCAATCAAGGGATTATCTCCTTTCCTGGGGTCACAGAGAGTGGCACTTCACATTCTTTTACATCTTATATAATGGGGAATGGGGAGGGGAAGACATAGGATGGGTCAGGCAAAGGTTACATTCATAGAAGGAAAAGGGGACATCAAAATATAGAAATCATACCCACATATCCCTCCTGCCAGAAATCCATAACCCATGATGGAGGGAAAAAGTCTAGTAAAAAGTTCCTAAGCTTTGGTCAAGTTTCCCAAAGACAGAAGGAAATTGATGAGAACCTTGATCATGGCTCAGTATATGTCCATAAAGTCCATCACAATGATCCAGTACTAGATATATGAGTCCATAGGGTAAAAATGCCAAGAAAAGGCACACAAAAGGTCCTTGATGCGGGGGCAAAGAGTCCATAAAGCATAAGAATGTCTTTATAAGTCCACTGAGCTAGATCTGGGAGTTCTGCACCACCAGGGCCGAAACTTGCACCTGATGTGAGGAAAACTACAACTCCCTCCTGGATCTGGAGCAGGGATGGCAAGCCCACTTCCCGAGGGTCTCAAGGGGTGACCACATCAAATTCCCCGGGTTCTGGGGCTCCGTGAGGGCGAGGAAACAACGGCGGGAGCAGCGCAGCAGCTGGAAGCCCAGTTTGACAATCAGCTGTTCCTTATTTAAATATATTATCAGAAAACAAAAGATAATTCCCAGAGCATAGAAGTCCAAAATGCAAAAAGTGAGATAGCAGTTAGTGTTAGAAGTAGGCTAGGAAAAATATGGCACCAAAATGGAGGTGTTTGGTTAACTCGCAGATACGGGGACCCAAGGGGTTTCCGTATCCGCGGTTTAAAGAAACACAGCTTCAGCCTTCCTGGGACGCCTGGAAGGCATCCTGGGCAAGCCGGTCACTGCCCGCGGCTCGGGAAGAAAAAGGTTCATGTATTAGAGCAGGGGTCCACAAAATTTTTAAACAGAGGGCCAGGTCACAGTCCCTCAAACAGTTGGAGGGCCGGATTATAATTTGAAAAAAACATGAATGAATTCTTACGCACATTGCACATATCTTATTTGTAGTGCAAAAATCACTTAAAAACAATACAATAATTAAAATGAAGAACAATTTTAACAAATATAAACTTGAGTAACCTACCAGTATTTCAATGGGAAGTGTGGGCCTGCTTTTGGCTGATGAGGCAGGATTGTTGTTGTTGTTGTGTGCTTTTAAGTCGTTTCAGACTTAGGGTGACCCTGAGCGAGGGCCGGGTAAATGACCTTGGAGGGCCGTATCCGGCCCCGGGCCATAGTTTGAGGACCCCTGTATTAGAGGCTTTGAGTCAGTAAATAGACACACACAAAGTATAACTAAGGAGAGGTGAAGGTTACAATTTAATTATACTTTATTAGGGGATTGGTTACAATGTTGGGCAGGGGAAGAAAGTAAAAGAGAGAGAGAGAGCACGAGGGTAAAAGAATCCCTGGTTGAGGCTGCTGCTGAGGCACATTCCAATTGAAGTTGGCCCAACAGGGCATCCAGGAACTGTGGAACTCCTTGCGGCAGGTCAGATCAGCTGGAAAGCAGGGGCCCTGGGCCAATTTGCCCTCGCTTCCTTCCTCCGACCTCCCTCCCTCTCCTTCCTCCCTTCTTCCTTCCACCTCCTCCTTCCTTCCCCTTCCCCCTCCTTCTTTCCTTCCTCCTTCCCCTTCTTCCTTTTTCCACCTTCTCCTTCTTTCCTTCTCCTTCTTCCCTCCTTCCTCTCACCTCCTTCCACCTCCTCCTTCCTTCCTTCCTTCCTTCCTTCCTTCCTTCCTTCCACCTCTTCCTTCCTCCCTCCTTCCTCCCTGCCTTCCTGCTCCTTAGGCTGGATCACGTTTGGACAGTCAGCAAAGAAAACAAAGCCTTGGACAGAGAGTGTTGGGCGTCCCATTGAACTTGGCCTCCTAAGATTCATAGAATCAAAGAGTTGGAAGAGACCTCATGGGCCATCCAGTCCAACCCCATTCTGCCAAGAAGCAGGAATATTGCATTCAAATCACCCCTGACAGATGGCCATCCAGCCTCTGTTTAAAAGCTTCCAAAGAAGGAGCCTCCACCACACTACAGGGCAGAGAGTTCCACTGCTGAACGGCTCTCACAGTCAGGAAGTTCTTCCTCATGTTCAGATGGAATCTCCTCTCTTGTAGTTTGAAGCCATTGTTCCATTGCGTCCTAGTCTCCAGGAAGCAGAAAACAAGCTTGCTCCCTCCTCCCTGTGGCTTCCTCTCACATATTTATACATGGCTATCATATCTCCTCTCAGCCTTCTCTTCTTCAGGCTAAACATGCCCAGCTCCTTAAGCCGCTCCTCATAGGGCTTGTTCTCCAGACCCTTGATCATTTTAGTCGCCTCCTCTGGACACATTCCAGCTTGTCAATATCTCTCTTGAATTGTGGTGCCCAGAATTGGACACAATATTCTAGGTGTGGTCTAACCAAGGCAGAATAGAGGGGTAGCATTACTTCCCTAGATCTAGACACTATGCTCCTATTGATACAGGCCAAAATCCCATTGGCATTTTTGCCGCTGCATCACATTCCTGGCTCATGTTGAACTTGTTGTCCACGAGGACTCTAAGATCTTTTTCACACGTCCTGCTCTTGAGCCAGGAGGCCTTGAGCCTTGCCAGTGGAGGGAGGGCCAAACTGCAGTGTGGGCGCAGCCCTTGTCTCCTGCTTGAAGGCCCTTACAGGCGCTTTGACCCAGATGTGAGCTCTGGACTCCACTGTAAAGCGGGGGCCTTCAAGCAGGAGGCAAGGGCTGCGCCGACACATTGTCCTCCTTAGACAAGGATTGGTTCCAGGAAGTCGTTTTGGCACTTAATAGCCAACGGCGAAATTCCAAAGGCCTTCCTCCCGGGGGAAGGATATGAGTGTGACACCCAGGGAGAGGCCGGCCAGCCAATCAGGTGGCGCGTCGGTGCGTAGCAGTGCGCCACTCTCAAGCGTCCGGCTCGCTCGGGTGCCTGGAAGCGGCAGTCATGGCGGCTCCTGCTTGGGGGAGCCACGTGTGGGTGGGCGCCGAGACGGGCCTCCTGAAAGGTAACCGGGAGCAAGGACTTCTTGGGAAGGAAGGAAGGAAGGAAGGAGGAGGGAAGAAGGCCATTTCTGTATTGAGCGTGTCAGGAGCGAATTGAGGTTGTAATGTATTTCAAACCACAGTTGTAATGTATTTCAAACCACAAAGTTAAGAACTTGGCCTTGTACTAAACGTGCTTTGACCAGAAGCTGGCCACTTGGAGTGCCTCTGGTGTCGCTGTGAGAAGGTGCATGTGGCAGGGCTCAGGTTGCAGTGTAGGAAGTGGTCTGTGGTTTCTTCTTCTCCACATTCGCACATATGGAGAAACCACAGTGTACAACAATGCAACCTGAGCCCTGCCACATGTACCTTCTCGTGGACTCCACTTAGTGCCTCCATTTCTGAAGGATGGCTCTGCATCTCGTGGTGCCAGAGCGCAGCCTGTTCATTACCTTCCAAGTCGCCCAGTCTTTGTGTGCCCGGGGGGACTCCTTCATCCGGTCTCAGTCACCAATTAACACAGTGAATTTATTTATTTATTTATTTAGCAATTTTGTATACCGGTCTTCCCTCTATCGGGGGACTCGGGCCGGTTTCCAACAATAATATCACAAAACAATCATTAAAAACATCATATAACATGTTCAATTAAAACGTTATAACAGCAAAATGCAATCACATAATAACAATGGTCAGTCGTCATAGTGAATTTGTTGTCCATCATTCATCGTCATCTATCCGATCACAGAAATATTGATTCACTCRTCRAAAGCCAAACCCCATAGCCAGGTTTTYACCYGTTTTCTGAAYRACAGAATGGAGGGGGGCAGTTCTGATCTCCAGTGGGAGARARTTCCAGAGTCRAGGGGCCACCACCGAGAAGGCCCTGTCCCTCGTCCCCACCAGACGCGCCTGAGAGGCCGGTGGGACCRAGASCAGGGCCCCTCCAGACGATCTTAACAACCTAGATGGTTCATAAGGGAGAATACGTTCGGACAGGTAAACTGGGCCGGAGTCGTTTAGGGCTTTATAGGTTAACACCGGCACTTTGAATTGTGCTCGGAAGCTAATTGGCAGCCAGTGGAGCTGGCGCAACAGAGTAGTATGCTCCCTGTACCCTGCTCGTGTTAGCATTCTGGCTGCCACACATTGGACTATTTGGAGCTTCCGGGCAGTCTTCAGAGGCAACCCCACGTAGAGAGCGTTGCAGTAATCTAAACGGGATGTAACCAAAGCGTGGACCACTGTGGCCAAGTCAGACTTCCCAAGGTACGGGCGCAGGTGGCGCACAAGTTTTAATTGTGCAAAAGCTCCCCTGACCACCGCTGAAACCTGGGGCTCCAGGCTCAGCGATTAGTCCAGGATCACTCCCAAACTGCAAACCTGCGCCTTCAGGGGGAGTGTAACCCCGTCCAGCACAGGCTGTAACCCTAAGCCCTGTTCGGCCTTTCGACTGACCAGGAGTACCTCTGTCATGTCTGGATTAAGTTTCAATCTGTGAAGACATCTACCCTTGCGCTACGCTACTCTGCTGCTGAGTACGCATGCCCAGTGTGGAACACATCTCACCACACTAAAACAGTGGATGTGGCTCTTAATGAAACATGCCGCATTATCACAGGGTGTCTGCGCCCTACACCACTGGAGAAATTACACTGTCTAGCCGGTATTGCACCACCTGACATCCGCCGGGAAGTAGCAGCCAACAGTGAAAGGACCAAGGCAGTGACATCTCCAGCTCATCCCCTGTTTGGGTATCAGCCAGCATGTCAACGACTTAAATCAAGAAATAGCTTTCTAAGATCTACAGAGACACACCCCAGCAAGCGAGAGTCCAAAAGTGGCAGGCTCAAACCCAGAACCTCAATCAATGGCCAGGTAAGTATTTGCAGTATAGTTGATTTAGCCCAGGGGCACTCTTGAGGCGCTCTTTGGGGAAAACAGACCTTGACATGTGTGAGTTGTAGTTACTAGGATGTATAGTTCACCTACAATCAAAGAGCATTCTGAACTCCACCAATGATGAAATTGAACCAAATATGGCACACAGAACTCCCACGACGAACAGAAAATATATATCAGTGATTGGTTGGGGGGGGGGCAAAATAACTGTTTGCTTACCGTTGAAAATTACCTAGGGCCACCTCTGTCAATGGCTGATACGAAATGAGAGACTCCCCCCTGGGCGCACAGAAAACTGGGCAACTTGGAAGGCACTGAACAGACTGCGCTCTGGAACCACGAGATGCAGAGCCAACCTTAAGAAATTGGGCTACAAAGTGGAACCCATGACATGCGAGTGCAGAGAAGAGCAAACCACTGACCACCTGCTGCAATGCAACCTGAGCCCTGCCACATGTACAATGGAGGACCTCCTTGCGGCAACACCAGAGGCACTCCAAGTGGCCTGATACTGGTCAAAGGACATTTAATCAACCACCAAGCTTGCAAACTTTGTGTTTTGTTTGTTTGTTTGTTAAAAAATGCAATGCAACTGTTTGGTCTGCTCCTGACACGATAAATAAATAACCTCGTGTTCCACACTGGGCATGTGTAGTCAGCAGCAGAGTAGCAGAGCACAAAGGCAGATGTCTTCACTGTGTCTGGTTGTGATCCCAAGGTTCTGCCAATTAGCTTTCACATGGTGTTGTTTCTAGCACCCACTTTTTGCATGATATTCAAGCAGTGCTTCTTATAAGTCAGAGCACAGTCCAGAGTGACTCCCAGGTATTTGGATGTGCTGTAATGCTCCTGTATGATTCCTTCCCATGTAATCTTCAGAGCTTGCGATGCTTGTCTGTTCTTAAGGTGAAAAGCACATGTCTGCATTTTAGATGAATTAGGAATCAGCTGGTTTTCTCTGTAGCAGGCAGTAAGAGCTCTTAAAGATTCAGAGAGCTTCTGTTCAACCATTTCTAAGCTCCCTGCTTGCGCGGTAATGGCACGATCATCAGCATAGATGAAACTTTCTGTCCTGTCTGGCAGTGGCTGGTCATTTGTGTAAATGTTAAACATTGACGGAGCAAGCACACTCCCCTAAGGCAGGCCGTTCTCCTGTCTTCACCATCTGCTTCTCTGACCCTGGAACTCAACAAAAAAGCCCCTGTTTTGTAGCAGATTTCCACCCCGAGTCCCTTCAGGGAGATAGAGCAGAATATAAATTAAGATTATTATTATTATTATTATTATTATTATTATTATTATGTGGGTGAGGTGGTAATCCTTTGTGATATTATACTTTTTTTAATGAGAAGGTGACAATTTACAGCATTATATGCTGCTGAGGAGGGAAAGGAAAGGGCCTGAGACTGTTAGGAATTGTGGGAGTTGAAGTCCAAAACAGCTAGAGGGCCCAAGTTTGCCCATGCCTGAGCTAGAAGGTACCATCAAAAGGTTTTCTAGCAGAGGCTGGATGGCCATTTGCCAGGAGGGCTTTTGTGGTGCCTGGCAAATGGAGTTGGACTGGATGACCTTTGGAGCTCTCTTTCAACTGTGGCATCAATAATAATAGATGATGATGATGGAGAAGAAAAAGTAGTATCTTCTCTGGAGGTTTTCAAGCAGAGCCTGGATGACCACCTGTTGGGAGGGCTTTGATTGTGTCTTCCTGCAGGGATGGGCTGGATTGTCCTTGGCGGGTCTTCTAACTCTGAGGTTCTATGATTTCCCTTGTCTGCTTGTATATAAACATTTTAATATATAATATATAATACTGTGTTGTGTGTGTGTTTTTTTCAGTTTTGCTCCCATTTCCTTTTTTGTCTTAGGAATCAATTTGCAGAAGAAGCAGGCTACAAACTATAAGCTGGGGGATGCATCCATCAGTCGCCAGGAAGCTGTCACTGCCATGTGTTGGGGGGATCCCTATGAGTCTGAGGTGAAGCTTTCATCCAACCCTAAATAACAGAGAAAGGAACAGCAAGAAATAACACTATGTAGCAAAATTTGAAAAAAAAATCTGTTCCTGGTTTGAAAGTGTGATTTCATGTTTAAATGTGCAACATTTACTTAGTAGTTGTTTACTTTAGTTAGTTGTTACACTCTGGAAATTTTGTCTTTTTGGCTGCCACAAACTACGTTGAATTGGTTGAGACTCGATGAGAAATTCCCACAGAGACATAGGTTTTGCAGTTTAATAAACTTTCCCCATGTTTTTATGATCGAACTAATTAGGAAATGGCATTTATAACCCAGAAACAAAAATTGTGTAACATAGTCTAATCATTATTATTGTTATTCCCCATCTCTCTAAGAGATAAACCTGCTCCTATATGCCTTTGTTACATCAGTGAGTTCAGTCATACTGTGATGATTAGCAGATATTTGATTATACTGCCTTAAATATTCATATAAATAATAATAATAATAATAATAATAATTTGTTTATATTTTGCTCTTCTCCCTGAGCGGACTCAGAGCGGATTACAGTATATAAGCAGGCACAGGCAGACATGCAATGCCTTGGGTTGTTGTGAGTTTTTCGGGCTGTCTGGCCATGTTCTAGAAGCATTCTCTCCTGATGTTTTGCCTATGGCAGGCATCCTCAGAGGTTGTGAGGACTGTTGGAAACTAGGAAAATGGGGTTTATATATCTGTAGAATGTCCAGGGTAGGAGAAAGAACTTTTGTCTGTTTGAGGCAGGTGTGAATGTTTCAACTGGCTACAAAACGTCAGGAGAGAATACTTCTGGAACATGGCCATACAGCCCAAAAAACATACAACCCAGTGATTCCAGCCACGAAAGCCTTCGACAATGCATATTCAATCTCTTATTACAATGACATACAATGATACATAAACACACAAAGGCAAAGCCTTCTCCTTTCATTTCCAGCTTCTGGAGGTAGTATTCATTTCAGGCTCTGGGGGAGGTGCTGCTTTTCTGTTTCCAAGCTGAGGAGCCTGTTGTCTATAGACACCTCCTGGTTGCGTTGCTGGCAAGGTTGCATGGGTGTCTTTATTACCTTCCCGCTGAAGTGGTACCTGTTGATCACATTTGCATGTTTCTGAACTGCTAGGTTGGCAGGAGCTAGGGTTAGGGTTAACAGCGGGAGCTCACCCCGACCTGTGGCTTTGAACTGCCAACCTTCAGGTCTAACAGGCTTTTTACCTGGAGATACCAGGACTTCAACCTGTGAATTTAGGTATGTGTTTTACAACTGAAGCATAGCATCTCTTTGCAATCCCTGATCTCTTCTTTGTAACTCCCTAAAAGAGATTGTAGGGAGATCTCTGATTTCTTCTTCTTCCATTACTTTTGTTTGTTTCTTTGCAGATCTTTGTGGGATGCCTGGATGGATCAGTTAGACTCTTCAGTACAGAGAAGGGCAAATTTATTAAGTCTCAAGACTGCCTCGGGGGCGAGGGACCCTTCCGTGGTTTGTGTGTGCTTGACAGGTGAGACGATTCCATCTGAACCTTGGGAAGAATTTCCTGACCATAAGAGCTGTTCAGCAGTGGAACTCACTGCCTCTGACTCTGGTGGTGGCTACTTTTGGGGGGGGGGGCTTTTAAACAGAGGCTGGCTGGCCATCTGTCAGGGGTGCTTTGATTGTGCTTTTCCTGCATGGCAGAAGGGGGGGGGGTTGGACTAGATGGCCCTTGGGGTCCCTTCCAACTCTGTGATTCTATCCTTCAGTCTTAATTGTTTATGACAAAGCCATAAGAAAAAGTTCCTGTCATTATATTTGGATATTCTTGATGTTTTTGCTAACTGCACTTTTCTTCCTTCCCTTCTCCGTGATTCAATTCAAGCTCCCTTATCACCTGCGTAGAATCCGGATTGCTGAAGGTCTGGAGAGACGTCTCCTCTGAAAATGTGAGTCTCTTTCTTCTGTGTGATGTTAAGAGATGGGCGTATGAGGAGAAAGAAGAGTCCAATGGAGTAAAACAGGTGGCAAGACAAGGCTTTGCTATCTTTTCAGGAAGGTCAACAGTGTTGTCGAAGGCTTTCATGGCCAAAATCACTGGGTTGCTGTGAGTTTACTGTGAGTTTTCCAGGCTGTATGGCCATGTTCCAGAAGCATTCTCTCCTGACATTTCACCCACATCTATGGCAGGCATCCTCACAAACTTCAGGAGAGAATGCTTCTGGGACATGGCCATACAGCCATGTTCACTCACAGTAAGCCAAGGTCAGCGGTGTTTGAATAGTCCTTCAGTAAACTTATTGGGCGCAAAATCTTTGTCAAAAACATGTTTTGGCAAAGCATTCTTTTTCTAGCTTGGATGGCAGGCTGCGATGACACCAGGACAACTATTTCTCTTGCTTAGCTTCTAGACCAGGCATGGGCAAACTTTCTAACTTGGGGACCACATGGCGAGCTGGAGTGGGGTGGGTGGGGAGGGAGGGGGGGTTCCCCCCAAACCCCCTCGCTGCCCTTTCATCCCCTCCCCCCTCTTTTAGAGGCAGAAAGTGGAGGAAAGACGGGAAATGTTTGGATCCCAAAAGGCTTGGCCTTGGTCAGGAATAGATGGTGGACGGGAGAGAACAAGTGTATCCATTAGATCCCGTGTTGTCTACTTCTGATAAAGAATCCTAGATCTGGAAGAGACCCCCAAAGGCCATCCATCCCAAATGTCAAGGTCTATTTTCCCCAAACTCCACCAGTGTTCACATTTGGACATATTGAATGTTTGTGCTGTTTGGTCTACATCCATAATTGTTTGAGTCCTCAGTGCTCTCTGGATCTAGGTGAACTACAACTCCAGGACTCAGGGTCAATGCCCAACAAACCCAGTATTTTCTGTTGGTCATGGGAGTTCTGTGTGCCAAGTTTGCTTCAATTCCATCATTGGTGGATTTAGAATGCTTTTCGATTGTAGGTGAACTATAAATCCCAGCAACTACAACTCCCAAATGACAAAATCAATCTCTCCCCAACTCCACCAGTATTCAAATTTGGGCATATCGTGTATACCAGTTTGGTCCAGTAAATGAAAATACATCCTGTATATCAGGTGTTGACATGACGATTCAAAACAATAGCAAAATGGCAATTATAAAGTAACAATGTAAATAATTTTCTGGTTGAGGGTCACCACAACATAAGGAACTGTATTGAGGGGTCGTGGCATTAGGAAGGTTGAGAAATACTGGTTTAGTGGGTGTCCAAGCCTTGCTCAAGTTCCTGGAAAACCACAGTTGGAGGGGAAATATTGTAGCTACATTTGTAAGAAATGTAAAGTTACAAATACTAAATTCTTTCTGAAATTATTTTCTGACTAGACGGTACTTTTAACACACCAATGAGATACTCTGTTATACTGCTAAAGTTGAGGGAAATGGCTGTCAAAAACCCCGGTGTAATTGGTTAGCCATTCTGTATGTTGGCTGTACCATTTGTTGATCTCTTGTTGTATGTCACCTTGTTCAGCCTGTGATGGTGTCTGATGCATGTTGATGTTCATGATGGGAATGGGGATGATGTTCCTGATGATGGGTCTGGGGATGGGGGTTTTCTTTGGCTTGAGTTAAGTTCAGAAGAGAGGCCTGAGCTATCTCAGGAAGATTCACAAGGTCATATTCCTGAGCGGCCCTTTCCCGCTTTCCTCAGAACAATTGTCTGGCCGTGATTTGTCAGGTGCAGGAGTTAATGAGGGGGAAGATAATGAAAGCTTGGATAGAAAGCAGATTTATAGTAAACAGTGGCTAAGTCTTCAGAGACTGAGGCATTCAGCTACAGTAAAAGAGATAACAAGATCTCCATCTCTAGTGGAAAGATCAAGAAGAATGCTTTCCTTTCAGTTTTGTGATCAGGAAAAGCTTTGTAATGATTCATGTGAAAGAATTGTCCCAGTCGGGTCAACATTGTTATTTTACCACAGTCTTGCTTTCAAGTGCTCTGAGTTTTATATACCAAGTTTTTGCCACGCTCAAGATTTGTCTATGAGATTTTCCTGCTGTCTTATTTCATGGATTCCAGTGCCTACTTTCATGGATTTTCATGTACTCATAGATCTTGTTTTTCTTTTAAGCTTAGGGACTCTTTCTCATATTGCAACTTTACTGTTTTGCCATTTTTATTGCTTTGCTTACATATAATTTTCAATAAACTGCTAGCTGATTTTACCAAGCTGGTGTGGTGTTTAAGGTCAGAGGTGTTCCTGCTCTGGTGGACGACACGTCACTCCAACTATCTCCTACATGACAGGTAGAGGTCCAGGTCGGCCCTGGTGTCTGCCGCATGCGCCAGAACCCTGCAACGCCTCATCAGGTGGCCACAGGTGGGAAGGAGAACTGCCTGAAGGTATGGGACCTGTGCAAGCCACAGGAGACCATTTTCCGAGCCAAAAACGTGAGTGGACTGAGTTTGTGCATCATCTTCTGGATTTTTAGGACAGATGCAGAAATGTTGCATTTATGGACACTTTCTCTGCCTTTATAATTTCTCGTCATTTTCTGCCACAGGTACGGCATGATTGGCTCGATCTGAGAGTCCGCATCTGGGAACGGGACATGCAGTTCCTTCCTGGATCACAGAAAATAGTTACCTGCACCGGTCACCACCAGGTAGAAACTGGGGAAGAGATACAGCCAATGGATAGGGTTCAGAATCCTAAAGTTGGGAGAGACTCAGAGGGCCATCCCATCCAATCCCATTCTACCAGCTTATCTGTCCGAACGTATCTCCCTCTATGAACCATCTCGGAGGTTAAGACCTTCTGGGGAGGCCCTGCTCCTGGTCTCACCCCCTTCGCAAGTGCGAGTGGTGGGGACGAGAGACAGGGCCTTCCCAGTGGTGGCTCCTTGGCTGTGTAACTCCCTTCCCAGTGAAATCAGATCAGCTCCCTCCCTCCTAACCTTCAGGAAAAAGCTGAAAACATGGCTGTGGGACCAAGCTTTGTACAGTAATGCACTGCAATAATTGAAGATGGAATATGTGCAGTCACGACTGGAACAGCTCCTTGACTATGATTTTGGATTATGTGGTTTTTAATAATTAGTTTTAATGTTTATATGCTTTTTCATGTTATGTTTTAATGTAAATAATAATAATAATAATATTTATGTATACCCCGCCACCATCTCCCCAACGGGGACTCGGGGCAGCTTACATGAGGCCAAGCCCAATCAACAAATTGCAGCAAAATAAAACCAAAAACACATGCAACAAACAACATCATAATTACATAAAAAATATGAATACGTTAACAATATAAGATTACAATAAACACAGTCACAGTGACAATGGGTGGCTACATGTGCGAGAAAATGATTAAAAACTGATTAAAAACTGATTTAAAACACGGGTGAGATAAAAAAGAGAAGCATGTTATTTGCGGAGGGGGGCTCATTAAAAAGGGGATTGTGAAATCGAGCTTTCCCACGAGGGGGACAGGACGGACGTATACGCCAATGACAAGAACGTTGAGGCTAAGCAATAGTATGAGGTTGTATACCTACTCACCAAAGGCGCAGTGGAAGAGCCATGTTTTAAGGTTCTTTGCAAAGGTTTCTAGGGTAGGATATACACCACATATATCTATTTTATGATACGTCTGTTTTATGTGGCATCAATTTGTTGCCTATTGTAAGGCTGCTCTGAGTCCCCTTCGGGGTGAGAAGAGCAGGGCATTATTATTATTATTATTATTATTATTATTATTATTATTATTTACAGTTCTTATATTCCGCCCTTCTCACCCCGCAGGGGATTCAGGGCGGGTTACAGTCAACACATATATGGCAAACATTCAATGCCAGTTTGACAAACAACGTTTAACACACAAATATACTGAGGCTATTTAACTTTTTTTCTGGCCGCCAGGGGAGCTGCTGCTTTTCATTGTCCACCAGCGACACCGATGAAATTCTTCCGCATTCCACATTCCCCGGAGTCTTTTTTCTTTATGGCCTCATAAATTAGTTAAATTTAGCCTAAATACAGTAAATAAATAAATAAATGCCAGGCAGGTATTTATTTACAATCAAAGCCCTTCCAACAGCCATTTAGCCCCTACTTAAAAGCCCCCAGGAAAGGCGATTACATATTCATCATTATTATCAAAGATGATGGTAATAATTGAACTCTAGAGTTGGAAGATACACCAAGGGTCATCCAGTCCAACCCCCTTCTGCCATGCAGCAAGACACCCTCAAAGCCCTCCTGATAGATGGCCTTCCAGACTCCATCATCATAATAAAAGATTATTATTATTGGGTTGCTGTGAGTTTTCCAGGCTGTGTGGTCATGTTCCAGAAGCATTCTCTCCCAGCGTTTCACCCAAATCTATGGCAGGCGTCCTCAGAGGTTTTGAGGCCTGTTGGAAACTAGGCAAATGAGGTTTATATATCTGTGGAATGATGTCCAGAGTGGGAGAAAGAACTCTTGTCTGTTTGAGGCAAGTGTGAATGTCGTCATTGACCAGCTTAATTAGCATTGAATGGCCTGGCTGCTTCCTGCCAGGGGCATCCTTTGTTGAGAGGTGATTAGCTGGCTCTGATTGTTTCTTGTCTGGAATTCCCCGGATTTTGAGTGTTGCTCTTTCTTTACTGTGCTGATTTTAGAATTTTTCAACACTGGTAGCCAGATTTTGTTTATTTTCATGGTTTCCTCCTTTCTGTTGAAATTGTGGATTTCAGTGGATTCTCTGTGTAGTCTGACATGCTGGTTGTTAGAGTGGTCCAGCATTTCTGTGTTCTCAAACTACACAGAGAAGCCATTGAAATCCACAAGCATATGGACAATTTCAACAGAAAAGAAGAAACCAAAAGCCAGCCCAGATCCGGAGTGATCTTCCGACCAATTGTGTAGCTGTTTGTTGGCCTTTGCAACCCGAAAGACAGTTGCATCTGTCAAGTTGGAAAATTAGATACCACCTATGTGTGGAGAGGCTAACTTAACAAAATTTACGAGGCCATAAAAAGACTCCAGCAATGCACTCCAAAAGCATGCAGGGAACGCGGAAGTACTTCATCAGTATTGCAGATGGACGATGAAAGCGACAGCTCCCCTGGCGGCCAGAAAAAGTTAAATAGCCTCTGTGTATGTCTGTATATGTTGTATGTTAAAATTGGCATTGAATGTTTGCCATATATGTGTACATTGTAATCCGCCCTGAGTCCCCTGTGGGGTGAGAAGGGCGGAATATAAATACTGTAAATAAATAAATAATAAATACTGACAGAAAGGTAATGAGTTCGAAGCCAACCCAGGTCGGAGTGAGCTTCCTACCAAATTGTTTAGCTTACTGTTGTCCTTTGCAGCCCGATAGACAGTTGCATCTGTTAAGTAGGAAATTTAGGTACCGTTTATGCAGGGAGGCTAATTTACGACGCCATAAAAGTCTCCAGCAAGCATGCAAAGAATGAGGAAGTACTTAATCAGTGTCACAAATGGACAGTGAAGCAACAGCTCCCGTGGTGGCCAGAATACCCTTATGAAAAAGCTGGAATGTTAAATAGCCTCTGTGTGTCTGTCTATATATGTTGTGTGTCTATGGCATTGAATGTTTGCCATGTATATGTACATTGTAAATAAATAAATAAACCATGAAAATGAACACAATCTGGCTCCCAGTATTGAAAAATTCTAAAATCAGGACAGTAAATGTTGCCGTTTCTTACATTTTCAAATAGTAGTCTGATTTCAGATAATAAGTACGTCTCAAAGTAGACCTCTAGGCTTCTGGACTTTGTGCTGATTTGACCTTATTTAAAAGACTTGTTTGAAACAACTCTTGATCCGCCTCGTCTTTGCATTTAGGTCCGACTCTATGACCCCAGCTGCCCTCAGCGCCGGCCTGTGAAGGAAATCACCTTTGGCGAGTATCCACTCACCGCTCTCTCATTGACTTCTGATGCAAAGTGAGTCGCTTTCTGTTCAGGAAGCATCGCTTTTAGGGAATATGACTGTATAATTGTCTCAAGTTAAACATTCTTATTGTATTTTTACCCATTTTCCTTGGCAGCTCTGTCGTGGTTGGCAGTTCACACGGGGATGTGGCAGTCTTCGACCTTCGGCAAGGTAAGAGGACAACATAATCTGAAGGTGAAAATCTGGGGGAAATGCAGAATTTCATAGGGCAGAAGAAGGGCTCGGTGTCCTTCACCAAGAGCTGTTCAACTGTGGAGCTCACTGCCTCTGAGTCCAGTTGAGACTTCTAAACAGAGGCTGGATGCTTTCCTATGGCAGGGCAGTTGCTGAATTGCCTGAAGGGCTTTGCTGGGAGCGTCTCTAGTATCCAGTGTCACCCTGAGCTTCCTTTGGTGGCCTCCTGTGGACTGGACCGCTTCCTTCGCGTGCACCATCTACGCCACAAGCGCTTGGAGCATAAGGTGAGATGCAGCCCTGATATTAGTATTATGGAAATGTTATATGTATCCATTACATATGCTGCCTTGTGTCCTCATCTCTTCATCTAGCCTCTAAGGCAGTGGTTCTCAACCTGGGCGTTGGGACCCCTGTGGGGTCACGAGGGGGTTTCAGAGGGGTCACCAAAGACCATCCAAAAACGTAGTACTTTCTGTTGGTCATAGGGGTTCCATGTGGGAAGTTTGGCCCAATTCTATCATTGGTGGGGAACAGAATGATCTTTTATCGTAGGTGAACTATAAATCCCAACAACTAAAACTCTCAAATGCCAAGGTCTCTTTTCCCCAAACTCCACCAGTGTTCATTCACATTGGGCAAGTTGAGTATTCATGGCAAGTTTGGTCCAGATCCATCATTTGTGTGAGTCCATAGTGCTCTCTGGATGTAGGTGAACTACAACTCCAAACCTCAAGATCAATGCCCACCAAACCCTTCCAGTATTTTCTGTTGGTCAAGGGAGTTCTGTGTGGCAAGATTGGTTCAATTCCATTTTTGGAGTTCATAATGCTCTTTGATTGTAGATAAACTATAAATCCCAGCAACTACAACTCCGAAATGACAACATCAATCCCCTGCCAACCCCACCAGTATTCAAATTGGGGCATATCACGTATTTGTGCCAAAATTGGTCCAGTGAATGAAAATACATCCTGCATGTCAGATATTTATATTATGATTCATAACAGTAGCAAAATTGTAGCTGTGAAGTAGCAACAAAAATAATGTGATGGTTGGGGGTCACCACAACATGAGGAACTGTATTAAGGGGTCGCAGCATTAGAAAGGTTGAGAACCACTGCTCTAAGGCTTTTAAACCAAGGCTGGATGGCCATCTGTCAGGGGTGCTTCGATTGTGCTTTCCCTACCTGGCAGAATGGGGTTGGGCTGGATGGCCCTTATGATGTCTTCCAACTCTAAATTCAATATTATTAATATTAATTATCATCATCATTATTATTAGGAGTGGTCTGACATGTGATCTTGTTTGCTGTGTACTAATCTTGTTGTGTATCAAATAGTAATAATAATAATTATTATTTTTTATTTATTTATTTTTGTCGTGTCAGGAGCAACCGCTCCTGTTGTGAGAGAATTGGCCGTCTGCAAGGACGTTGCCCAGGGGACGCCCGGATGATTTCTGATGTTTTATCATCCTTGTGGGAGGCTTCTCTCATGTCCCCGCATGAGGAGCTGGAGCCGATAGAGGGAGCTCATCCGCCTCTCCCGGGATTTGAACCTGCGACCTGTCGGTCTTCAGTCCTGCCAGCACAAGGCTTTAACCCACTGCGCCACCGGGGGCTCCAATTAGAAACCATAAAACATAATAATAATAATAATAATAATAATATGATAATAATATTGTCGATGTTGCAATCCCAGGTGACAGCAGGATTGCAGAGAAACAACTGGAAAAGCTGACACAATATGAGGATTTAAAGATCCAACTGCAAAGACTCTGGCACAAGCCAGTCAAAGTGGTCCCAGTGGTGATTGGCACACAGGGTGCAGTGCCTAAAGACCTTGACCTGCACTTAAACATAATCGACACTGACAAAATTGCCGTCTGCCAGCTGCAGAAGGCCACCTGCACGCATTATTCGCTGATACATCACACAGTCCTTGACATTTGGGAAGTGTCCGACGTGTGATCCAATTCAACAGCCAGCAGAGTCTGCTGTGGACTCATCTTTGTGTTTCAAATAATGTTAATGATGATGATGATGATGATGATGATGATGATGATGATGATGATGATGGAGTCTATTACCCTAGGGATTTTTAAGCAGAGGCTGGATGGCCATCTGCCGGGAAGGCTTGGATTGTTTCTTCCTGCCTGGCGGAATGGGGTTGCACTGGATGATGATGATGATGATGATTATTATTATCATTATGTTTATTTATACCCCGCTTTTTCTCTCCAAAAGGAGAATCAAAAAGTCTTACAATAAAACCATTTAAATACAATTTAAAATCTACAAATATACAAACATTAAAACAGAATTAAATATATTTGAATCAAAAATTCAATTAGAAACCATAAAACATATTCAAAGATGGCCCTTTGGGGTCTCTTCCATCTCTAGGACTTAAGGCATCATAATATAAAGGACCATCCCCTCTCTGTATATTTTCCCATTGCCACTGAAATCCACAAGCATATGGACAATTTCAACAAAAAGGAGGAAACCATGAAAATGAACATCATCTGGCTACCAGTATTAAAAAACTAAAATGAGAACAGTAAATAAAGAGCAACACTCAGAAAACAGGGGAATTCCAGACAGGAAACCATCAGGGGCAACTAACACCTCCCAACAAAGGATTCCCCCAGGCAGGAAGCAGCTGGCTTTGAAGCTGCAAGGCCATTCAATGCTAACCAAGGTGGCCAGGTGCAACATTCACACTTGCATCTAACAGGCAAGAGTTCTTTCTCCTATCCTGGACATTATTGCACAGATATATAAACCCCACTTGCCTAGTTTCCAATAGACCTCGCAACCTCTGAGGAAGCCTGCCATAGGTGTGGGTGAAACGTCAGAAGAGAATGCTTCTGGAACATGGCCTGACAGCCCGGAAAACTCACAGCAGCGCAGCGATTCCAGCCATGACAGCCTTTGACAACACAATAATTTGCGACTATCTGTACAGTTTATACATCCCAGGCCATTAAATGGACAAATACTTACCTTGTTTACAGGTTTATCTGAAATCCCGACTCAGCTGCCTGCTGCTGAACAGCCGGGAGAAATGGGAGGTGAGTTGCAAGTAGGATTTTCAGTCAAGATGCCACCACTTTGTAAGAACGCCACCAGGAGCAGTAGAGATGTCACTAGTTTGTCAGGGTCTCCTACTATTTGTAATGGATTTACAAATTTGATAACATAGCTAATAGCTTGTAATATTTTGTTGGTCTTTCTTCAATGTGTAGCGCAGCTTGACTTGAAAGTATTCATAACAGAGACTTGGTTTTAAGAGAAAATGTAACAAGTTTATTGAAGTATAGAAGAAGCTTAATGGTTTCAATGTTTCTTAACTCCTAGAGGCACATTTCTTCAGTAGTTACATTTATAACATTTCATAAAACAACTCTTAAGAGGACTGTTCCTTCCACTAGAAAGGTTTTAAACTTACTTTTCCTCAAACTGTGTTTCTTTCCTTAACAGATCACTTCAGGTACCAGCTTATTCTTTCCCTAAGTTACCTCTGTTGCAGTAAAGATTCTTACTGGGTTTCTCTCCCCCTTTTTGCTCATACACTAACTACTAATCTAAATAAGTCAACTTGGCCTATCTAAACCTCACAGGCTAAAAGCCTAAACCTTCCTGATTCTCAACACAGTAGAACCAGCCTTTCCCTATAGTTCTCTGACTACAGACTGACCATTTAAAAATGCCTGCCCTGCCAAGTTGCAGTTGGCTCCTCCCCTTTTTCCATGGCAACCCAGCTCAGAGCAAGTTGAGCTGGCTACCATCCCCCCAGTTATGCTATTTTAAATACTTACCCTTTTAAACACCTATCTATAATTATACATAACTGTAAATTAAAATTCACACTTCACCACAGGTATATATCCTGTTCCCTAATAGATGGCAAAAAAATCAAACTAGATTTCTTTCCTTGTTTCCTTTTACTCAGGATGAAGCCCTTGACCCTTCCGCTGAGTTAGAAAATGATGTCAAAGAGGAGGAAGATGAAGCCGACGAAATCTGGAACACCATGAAAGTTGTGGTCACCAAGCGGAAAGCAGATTTAGGACCCTCCTCCGACAAAGGGAGTGATAAACGAAAAATTCTTAAGGCCCCAAAGAAGAAGAAGCAACACATTTAAATATCTGACTTAATATCAGCATTAAGGAAAATAGGTGATTTCTTCCTTTCTCAGTTCAGAGGAGACAAATGCAAAGCTGCAGGAACTTCTCAAGGATCTATGAGGGGCGTTCATTAAAGACTTCACCTGACCCACTTCCTGTGGACAAAGAGCAATGAAACTTGGCCCAGTTCTGAGTCCTTCTCTCCATGGGTGCAACACACACGTCTCCCATCTTTTTCTCCCTACTGGAAGCACCTCGCTTGTAGAAGTCGACGGTTGCTCCAAAAGCCACGTCGTGACTTCGGAAATCAGAGTCTCATCATCTGAGAAAGGCTTGCCCTTCAAAAATAACTTCTTTGTTGGAAAGATGTGGAAGTCCAATGGTGTGAGGTCAGGGGAATAAGGGGGACACGGGAGAATTTCAAAGCCAGAGGAGCATGCTTCTTCCATTTGGGCAGCAGGTGAGTTGTGAACTGGTGCTTTGTCTTGCAGAAGGCAAAGGACAACTTTGGTGAGCATGCCACATTGACTCTTGGTTTGGATGGCTTCCCACAATGTCCGCATCAGTGAAGCCTAGTCTGCCCCAGTGATCATGGGACCCTTTGCTAGGAAATCCACCCATCCCACTCCATGCTGGTCCCTTGCCTGCTGAGAGTTGGGCACATGCCTTCTTTGGATTTTTTTTTTGTCGTGTCAGGAGCGACTTGAGAAACTGCAAGTCGTTTCTGGTGTGAGATAATTGGCCGTCTGCAAGGACGTTACCCAGGGGACGCCAGGATGTTTTGATCTTTATTATATATATAATTTTTTTTATTGTTTCATAGTGTATTCAGAAAACAAAACAAATGAACAAAAGGAAAAAATAAAGAATAATGCAAAAAATTTACAAAAGAGTCAATATTCAGTGCTCATTAAACATATGTACAATCAGATTTGGTTGTACAATTATTTATACCTTAACATTACATAACCCTCTATCCCCCACCCGTGAACCCCACCCCCTGACCTCCGAAACCCCTCAAAACAGGATCACATTACTAAACAACAACTACCCAAATATCTTCTTTCACTGAATCCCCTTTATGGCAATCTTCAAGTTTACCTTTGTCTTCTTTTCCAAATACCCAAGTGCCAGCCTCCATTTATTTGCAAATTCTTCATTATCTCCTCCTCTGCTGCCATTTGTCAGCTTGGCCATTTGGATATAATCAGCTAAATTATCTCTCCAGATAACTCTTTTCCCCCTTTCCAAGTTTTGGCTATTATTAGTCTTGCCGCAACAAAGCAATATTGACAAATTTCTTCATCTCTTGCACTGATACGCATTCTAAATAATCCTAATAGGCACATTTCCAGGTTTTTCTTAACCTTCTTGTTAATCATAGTTTGTTTCTTTCACCACTTTTTCCCAAAATTCTTTGACTATATTACACATCCACCATACATGGAAAAATGATCCCTTCGCCTTCTTACGTCTCCAGCAAGTTCCTTGTCCTGTTTTCTCTATTTTAGCCAATAATTCTGGAGTTATGTAAGTTCTATAAAACATTTTAAACATATTTTCTCTAATTGAGCTGGCCACTGAAAATTTAAACCCCTTTTTCCACAAATGTTCCCATTCTTCCAAATCAATATTTCTACCTAAATCTTTGGGCCACATAATCATAACAGTTTTTATCTGGTTATCTATTAAATTGTATTCTAAAATATATTTATAGAACCTGGATATTAGGCCTTTGTTGCCCTTCTCAAAGATACATTCTAACTCTGACTTTTTAGAGGCAATTCCTACCTTTACGTCCTCTTCCTAAATCCATCATGCAATTGAAAGAAGCAAAACCAATCTTTTATCCCAATTCTTCTCTGCCTTTAAGTGTCCATTGCCCTTTCTCTTTGAGTAAATATTCTTCATAAGTTCTAGATTCAGTATGTGTTGCCAGTCTCTGCGCAGCTTCCAGTGGGCAGTTTTGATCTTTTACCATCTTTGTGGGAGGCTTCTCTCATGTCCCCGCATGAGGAGCTAGAGCTGACAGAGGGAGCTCATCTGCGGTCTCCCCACATTCGAACCTGCGACCTGTGGGTCTTCAGTCCTGCCGGCACAGGGGTTTAACCCTCTGCGCCACCAGGGTCTCCTTCTTTGGATGCCTCCATTGCATCGATTGGACTTGAGTCTCAGGATCAGAGGGATGGACCCAGCTTTCACTCTGTGTGGTCCGTCTGTTGAAAAAGTCCTCCTGGTTTCCATGGCACATCATTGTCAAGAGAGCCTGAGAGCATCTGACTCGTTCCTGCTTCTGGAAAGGTGTGGGCAACTGGGGGACCCAGTGAGCGGATACCTTATGCAGGTGAAGATGGTCTTGGGGGAGTTTTTCCACGGACCCCACACTCATCTTGACATTTTGAGCAAGGTGGCGAATGGTTACGTGGCGATTTCCCAAAATGGTGACCTCCAATTGCTGGAATTGGAGCTCTTTGGACCGAAGTCTGGCCACATTGGAATGGACAATGCAAGTTCTTGACTCCATCATATGATGGGGAATCCTCACCATCAACCTCTTTCATCTCATCGAGCATCTCCTTTGGTGTGTGGCCTTTCGAAGAAAGGAACTTGAGGGCTGCTCTGTCTTCCACTGGGACCGTGATCAAACCTCACTCCACTTCAGCACCTGTACAATCAATAAATAATAATAATAATAATAATAATAATAATAATAAACTTTATTTGTACCCCGCCACCATCTCCCCAATGGGGACTCGGAGCGGCTTACATGGGGCCAGGCCCGAACAACAATTACAATAAGAAAACCAAAACACAACCGAAAACGCAAACAATAAACAACATCATAATTACATAAAACATATGAATACATAACCAATATAAGAATTACAATAGACACAGGCACAGAGACAATGGGCGGGCTACACGTAATGATTAAAAAAACCCAATCTAATTAAAACTAATTAAAATCTCAGACAAGATAAAAAAGAGAAGCAGATAATAACCGGAGTAGTACTCATGGAGGGTCAAGACTGATCAGTTCTGAGTTGTACATTAGCATGTAACCTATAGACACTTATATCTTTATACATGTGCAGTTTCAGCATCCTGTGATAAACAGAAGTGGATCAGGGGAAATCTTTAATGAACACCCCTAGTCAGGCCTGTAGCCAGGATTTTTATTCCGGGGGGGGGGGGGGGGGGGGGGGGGGGGGGGGGGGGGCGGGGGGGTGGGGGGGGGGGGGGGGGGGGGGGGGGGGGGGGGGGGGGGTTGGGGGGGGCTGAGTCTGAGTGAAAGAGGGTCTACCCTAGCAAACCTTTTGTATCGTTACCCCAATACCCCCATGCATATGGGATATATTGAGCATGGTGATCAGATCACGATATGAATAAACATAACAGTTTAAATAATGTACCAGTAAGGCCTTCTCGCGGACCACCATGAGAATTTGGGGGGGGGGGCGGAAGTCCCTCAAGCCCCCCCCCGCCCCCCCGGCTACATGCCTGCCCCTAGTAGATTAACTACAGAGGAAGATTTGTAGCAAAGGAAGGGAGGAAAATGGAGGGGCATTGTGTGATCCAATGCTGCTTCTTTGTAACTGAAGCTTTGTACAAAAATCTGAAGGGAGGCTTCATTCACTTCCATCTTCCCTTTGACTGCTGTGCAGCCTGTTAATTTAATTTTCAGATATTTTTAAACCATGCCAACTAGCAGGGTAAAGGATCTGTTTCTTTTCTTTCCAAACCCTTATTCAGGGAAATAAAAATCGCCACAGGGAAAAGATGGAAACTGTGTCTGTATCCCTTGTAAGAGCTTGGTGGTAAAAATGGTGGTAAAATGAGGTGTGTCAAAAAAAAAATCATGTCCACCAACAGAAAATGTTTGAGGTTCTGGGTTTGAGCCTGCCACTTTTGGACTCTCGCTTGCTGAGGTGTTCCAGCGAGTGTCTCTGTAGATCTTAGAAAACTATTTCTTGATTTAAGTCGTTGACGTGCTGGCTGATTCCCAAACAGGGGATGAGCTGGAGATGTCACTGCCTTGGTCCTTTCACTATTGGCTGCTACTTCCCGGCGGATGTCAGGTGGTAAACAGTGTAATTCTTCCAGTGGTGTAGGGCGCAGACACCCCGTGATAATGCGGCATGTCTCATTAAGAGCCACATCCACTGTTTTAGTGTGGTGAGATGTGTTCCACACTGGGCATGCATACTCAGCAGCAGAGTAGCATAACGCAAGGGCAGATGTCTTCACTGTGTCTGGTTGTGATCCCCAGGTTGTGCCAGTCAGCTTTCGTATGATATTGTTTCTAGCGCCCACTTTTTGCTTGATATTCAGGCAGTGCTTCTTGTAGGTCAGAGCACGGTCCAGAGTGACTCCCAGGTATTGGGTGCGCTGCAATGCTCCAGTGGGATTCCTTCCCAGGTAATCCTCAGAGCTCGGGATGCTTGTCTGTTAAGGTGAAAAGCACATGTCTGTGTTTTAGATGGATTAGGGATCAGCTGGTTTTCCCTGTAATAGGCAGTAAGAGCACCTAGAGCTTCGGAGAGCTTCTGTTCAACCATCTCAAAGCTCCCTGCTTGAGCGGTAATGGCACGATCATCAGCATAGATGAAACTCTCTGTCCCTTCTGGCAGTGGCTGGTCATTTGTGTAGATGTTGAACATGGATGGAGCAAGCACGCTCCCCTGAGGCAGGCCGTTCTTCTGTTTCCGCCATCTGCTTCTCTGGCCCTGGAACTCAACAAAAAAGCTCCTGTTTTGTAGCAGGTTTCCTATGAGGCGGGTGAGGTGGTCGTCCTTTGTGATACTATACATTTTTCTCAGGAGGAGGCGGTGGTTCACAGTATCATAAGCCGCTGTCAGGTCTATGAAGACAGTGCCTGTGATCTGCTGCCTTCCAAAGCCATCTTCTATGTGCTGAGTCAGGTTCAGCACTTGCGATGTGCAGCTTTTGCCTTTCCTGAAGCCAGCTTGCTGTGGGATCAGACAGGGGTCTATTTTTTCCATAATTCTATGCAAAATAAGTCTCTCCAGAACTTTGTAGAGGTGGCACAACAGGGAGATTGGTCTGTAGCTTTTTGGGCCATTACGGTCTTTGCCTAGCTTCAAGATGGCGATGACTCTTGCTTTCCTCCAGATTTTGGGGATCTGACAGGATGCAGTGCAGTTGTTCATCAGATCCAGCAGCCAGCACCTTGCTTTGGGGCCAAAGTTCTTAGATCGTCCAGGCCAGCTGCTTTGCCATTCTAACATTTATTGAGAGTCACTATTATAGGACTCTATAATAGTAACAATAATAATATTTATTTATTTATTTATTTATTTATTTACGGTATTGATATGCTGCCCTTCTCACCCCGAAGGGGACTCAGAGTGGCTTACAATATTTATTTTCATACAATATATTATATTATTAGCATAGTACAATATCAGTATATATTACTATATTGCACTATACCATTATA